CCAGCCCTGCATTGAATCTCAGTTTCACCGCCATGACCGAAAATCTCTCATAAACCCCATGGCAACATTAAACCAGACAATATCGTACCAGTGAATGCATAAATATTGCGCCCATTCACGCTCACATTCTGCACACGTCTACGCCATAAGGGAGAGTCGGGTAGGTTCGGGCACTAATTTGATACAATATTTGTTTGCTTTAGATGATGGAGCTCATGTAAGCCATGCATAAGGCGAAAATTATGCAGAATTTGGCTTAGAGAGACAATTTGTTGTTGCTTCCGAGATTTCTACTCGTCACCAAAGTCGATGTAGTGAGAAAAGGGACCTGCTTCTTGTGGCTGAATCTAACCCGCTCTTCCCCTCTCTATACACTGTACGTAAAATAATCATGGAAAATCAAGTGAAAACTCACCGCCGCAGTGTTCCTTGCTGTCATGTACTGACTCTGCGGTGGCATCACACCAAGATGCGGCTGTCCGCCCAAGTAGACAAGCTGCTCCGTGGGCTTTGGCAATCCATTCATGTTCTGATGGACAGGATCATAGATGCCACCTTGGATGGCGGCCATCTGCATGGGCAGACCGGCCGTTGCACTGCTGAGTGTCTGGTTCAGTATTTGTGAAGTGTTATTAATGTGATTCTGTTGCTGCTGAAGCTGATGCGATACATGGCCCATAATCTGATGTGGTTTGGACGAGTGTGGCGGTGGCGGTGGTGGCAGGGAAACACCACCCCCGCTATGGCTTGAATTCATCGGTCCATTGTATTTCCACTTGTCTTGATTCTGCAAATTAAGCAAACAAACAACACACTCAAATATCAAATGGGCTCGCTACTTCTGTATCGTTGCTTTTTCCAACCATCTCATCCCTATATTGAAAGTATCGATTGAGCCTTTCAACCTAGAACAGCCCCTTTAACTTGCCCCCCTCGTCGCACACACACTCCAAGTCCTCCCCCAATTTGCTCTCCCCCGTTTCGCCGGCGTAATTAGATTTCCAAGCCTCTCTCTCTCTCTCGACTCCACTCATCTCTTCTCTCTATTCAGAGATGAAGAAACAAATCTTTTGATGAAAACCCACGGTGAATGCTAAACGCTGAAGTTTCCCATTCAATGTCCCTCCATCGTTCAATCATTTTAAAACAATATAACCCCCCGAACAGGGGAGAGAAGGAGATGTCTCTGTGTACAAGTATCATTGGATGACTGCTCAAAACGCTCCGAAGACAAAAATGTCGTGTAATATTTTGCCCTCTCGTCATTCTTCAGATTCTCAACAGAAATGTCCAGGAAACGTACAGTGGCGGTAGTAAAAATACTTCCACATCTTATCGGTTGTAAAAACACACTCTCTAAATGCTCGCCAAAGAGATCTCTATCAGCTCACACTTTTATGCTGATGTTTTCACTCTCCTGTTATTTAAGATAACACACATAAAAATAAGAAAATGTCTTTTCCTTAGGAGAGGAGAAACCTCAAAAAATAAACTCGAATTCATACTGAATTTAGCAAGAGATACAAAAGAAATTAAACATATATTTAAGATATTCTTCGAGAAACGTTCATACAAAAAGCATAACGTTCGCGACAAATAAATGCAACGAGAAGAACTCCTTACGTCAGCATCTGAGAACAGAGGGGCAATTTAATAAGCCCTAAGTCCCCCTTTCGCTACACATTTCCCGACAATTATTCATTGAGGTACGGCCTGAGGCTTTATGCAAATTCTACATCTGTCTAATTACAGCGTGAACGCTAAATAAAGAGGCTATTAAAGGTCGATGAATGAATTTTTCGTGCAAGCCAGAAAGCCTTTCTTCCCCAAAAATATACCCTCCAAACACAACACTGTTAACCATACCCCAAAACACCCAAGGATCATTAAAAACTGTTGCCCATTTCACCCCTTGTATCCCTCCCATAAAATGCGCCAGATAAGAAAAATATTGCAATAAATTCGCACAATTAAGCAGTCATTAAATTATCTTTCAGCACAAATCTAAGCAAAATCGACATCACAGCGAGAAGAAACCCCCAGTGAGATTTATTGTCATGTTCGTTAGTGTTGCGGAGGGAAAATGTGCGGAAATTAAATATCTGCCATGTCTTACAAGCGACAACACAGACGAACCAACCCCAATGAAAATTCTTTTTTCTTGTATCTCCTCCTCTCCCGGGCCCCGATATGTTCACCCAGCAACCAGAGTGTGCGCGCAGGAGAGTGAGAAATATGGGGGGGCAATTGAAATTCCACCACCCCTAAAACTATCTCATCGAGTCAATTGATCGCTCTGCGGCCCCAGGCTGAAGCATTGTACCATTTCACAGTTGACTGATCAAATCGCGCGAGCCGAGGAAGCCACTGTGACGAGAGGAAGAGTCGCAGTCGCGAAGGCAACACTCACCGGAATGACGGCGAACCCCATGTCGATGATGGCATCGTCGCCGGATGCCCAGCGGGGCTGCTTGAACTGATGGAATTCGGGCTCGTGCGAGTGTCGCTGGAACACATAGCCAACCGCCGCGTCGTCCTGGGACCGCGCCGGCGGGCCACGGCCACCGCCGTCATCGGTGCCCCCGAGCAGCTTCATGCCGTTGTCAACGGGTGCGTTGATAAAGTGGCTGTCGTCTGATTTACCTGTCGCCGTTGCGGCTTTCGTTGTTGCGCTGATCCAACTGCAATAGAAGCAATGTGTGCACAAATATCTGTCAATTTCCTTCATTTCCACCACGCGACTTGCAGAGATTTACACATTTCAATTGAGTGGGTGCTTCAATACTCTCTTTTATGCAATGTTGCGATAAATTAACGCAAAGAAAAGAAATGGAAGAAATCAATACGTCAGAATCTCCGTTTGCGGCGAGAAATCGGATAGATGAAAAACGTTAAGCCAAAGATAAATTCTATAACTGAAATTTGATCCTTTCAGCGCTCTCAACGCTCAATAAAATTATAATTACGCAAGATTAAAAATAACTCTATGAGGTTTTTGATTATTTTAATTGAAAAGTTCAATCAAAATCATGCCCTGAAGCGAAAATAATTTCTGAACTTTCATTATATCAATATTATGCCAATTATATATGTGCAATAGTGATAGAATATGTGTTAAAAAATCAGGGATATATTTAAAAAAAAAAAAAACATCACAAAGTTAAGCATATTAAAAAAAAAATTCCTCTTAATCAATTTCTTGAAATATGAATAAACATTTATTTATTAATAACACTTTTCTTCATCGCATCAAAGCCAACCAAAATATACGTGAATTTGATAACTTTTATACAAGTGACAGATGCGAAATGATATCATCTCGGCAAAAATTAGGTTTAATCATGTCCTATAAGAGTTTTGGCTCACTGGATTACGTAGTTGTGCAAGTATCCGCAAACCGTCTCCTGTGTAACGGCGAAAAGCCACACGAGAAACGATAATCCTAACACTTGATGATACTACTCAGTTTATCGGATCAATTTGCTCAAGGATTAATCATTAGTTAATTCGCGAAAGCTGCCTTTATGCTCATCCCTGGGCCAAGGTTAAACTGTAACCTTTTATCCTCTAACTCAGTTCCAGCGTACAATAAAGCGGAAAATTATTTCCTCTAGAGAAGTTTGCACAAGATAAAAGATCCTAAAAGACCAAACTTGTATCCCAAATACCCCCCGGGCAGCCCAGCGAAAAAACCTCACAAGCAATCCATCCTCAATTTCCCCCCCAACCAGGATTACCCCCAGCACAGCATTTTTTTCTGCCGTGTAATCTGCAAACCTCTTTTTCTTGGGCGCCCAAAACGCACAAAATCATTTTGTTGACATCCCATTTGACGAGCGAGAATGTTTGTGACGTCGGAGCACATCAAAACACAAATAAAGCGAGAGAAAAGCGCTCCACCGTCCGGAAAGGTGTCTCCCCCGCTCGCCGGGCGCCGTGGGTGGGGGCACGGGGCGATGGAGGGGCCCGGCGTTGTTTTGCCGTGCGTCAGTGGAGCTTCGCTCGCCGGCCGGGCTGAAACAAACACACCGTCCGCCATTGGGCCACGAGCGCCCTCTGCGCGGCCCCCGGCCGCCGCGCACAAAGGCAACCCACCACAAAGGAAGTGCGACCTCCGGGCGTGTCGCCGGCGGCCTTGAGCGGCTCACCCGGGCGTTCAGGGTCACTCGAGGGGTGGGGGTCCCGCTTACCTGCTTCCAATGGCTGCAACTGTCTCATCCACCCGGGCTCCGAGCTGAGGCCGAGAGCTTGTCGCCGGCTGGATGTGTGCGGCCTGCGGCGGCTTGTTTGAAAACACACGGAAGGCGCGACGCGGCGGCACGGCAAATGTACACAAAACCTCTCGCCGGAGATGGGCAGGCGACTGAGTGATGCGAGATCGTGCGCCGGGGAGCCTCCTGGGCGATCCAGGGACGGCCGGGTGCCTCTCTAGCGCGTCCGCGGCGTCTCACGAAGCCGGAGAGTGCCGGGGTGGGGGCGCACTAGGCAACACCGCGGTGGAGGTCCCACGAAAATTGATTAAACACAGCCCTCACTTGTCCACTCTTGTTCACTCTGTGTTCGTCGCTGTATGCACACCACCGGAGGCACCACGTTTGATTAGAAATTAAACACGGAATTATCACTAACTGTACACAAAGCTATTTACAAGAAAATGCGCTAATTACAACAGAGCTCACTGATTACGCCATTTATTTTTTAGCGCAGATGGTGCTGCTCGTAGCCGCCAAACTGGGGAAAAATGGCGACATGGGTGAGAAAATCGATGGCAATCGATGACAAGTCGATGAATTTCCCGCGATGACAGCCCCGTCGATGAGTCGCGCCAGCGCCGCCGCTCAGGACTAAACAGAACCAAAACCGCTTTTAGTACACGCATTCAAACATTCAAAACACCAACTGCTCGTGGAAACTCCTTTTTATTTTCTCTCACCCTCAATTACTATTTTCCTCACTTTGCAAATTACAATATTCTTGGAAAATAAGTATACGCGGTAGAATCCATTGTCAGAATAAAAATACTAATTTATTATTTTTAAAGAAAAAAAATATTAACAATAAATTGCAACTTTTGCTTCTTTCAATACTCACTCAGTTCTTTTTTTCCCATTTTCTCTCATTTCCTCACTCACGCTATCGTGAGTTTGTCCTACAATTCATAAAACTTCGTTCTTTACATTTTTTTTCTCTTTACTACTTTGTATACAGAAAGAAATAAAAACGCTCTCCTCGTGGGCGGGAAAACTCAGCGCAAAAACAAACATCAATAGAACAGATAATAAAACATAATTTCACTGAAAATGCAGTCATCGTATGCAAAGTGTTAAAATTAATTTTGACATTTCTTTCCATTCTTTTCATCCAAAGAGAAATTCAGCAATTTTTACCCGTTTTCAGTGCCCTAATCATTCATTTAGTACAAAAGTCTGTGTGTTTTTCCTTACTTGTGCAAATTACATATTCAACGAAAAAGAATCGTGCAATCTTGTTCACACAAAGAAATACATTTTTCTTTAGAATAATCTTTCAGGTAATTTTGGACATGTTTCTATGCAAAATCACCCTTGACTCTTCCACTCAAATTGTGTGAATCAAGAGACTTTTTCTTGTTCATCATATCATCTCTATCCTTTGTTCCGGTTCTTCTTCCAGTAAATAGACCAACAATCTTGACATTTAAACAAATTTCGAAATCTAAAGTCCAATTGGCATGCCCACCTGCACACGCTTTTCTAGTGCAATTAGATCTGCAATTACAGTGAGTCTACATCATTCTTCACCTCACGCCTATCCTGCTCTTCATCATCTACAAATTACAATCGAAAATTTGATGTCATCTTTGCCATTCTCTGTATTTTGTGTTATTTTTTGTAACAGTTACCTCTCTCTCTCTCTCTTCCTCATCCACGCACTCTCTCTTTAGTAGTACAAAATATGAGTTTGCCTCTAATTTATACATTTTACAATTAGATACATTATTTATTATACAATGCCTATGGTGGAGTTCTATCCGCCGTTTTCAAAAACAATTCGTCTGTGCTGTTTTATTCTCCTGCTCTCCTAAAGACCATTATACTCTCATATCTCATCCAGTAACTATACATAACTATTTGTTTTTTTTGTGTATGTTTTCACTCTTCCTCGTTTTCTCCTTACACTCTCTCTCTCTCTCTCTGTACTTTTCTCCTCTTTCTGCATCTTCTCTAAATTTAATTGTCTAGTTATGATCACTTATAAGTTATTTACTTTGTACATATACAAAATATTCTTTCAATAGTTTCCTCTTTCTCACTCCTCATTATTCTTCTTCGCATCCTTCTTTATCTACAGCGGAAGTTACTAATTTGTATTATCTTCCATTCATTTAAGAACTTATACTCTTAAATAAACCTAGAGACAAGTTTCATGTATTTCTAATTGATAATTCTTGTTTTTTATCATCTCTCCTCTCTCTCTCTCTCGCTCGCTAAAGTAAGGGTAGATTTTCTTTTCCTCTTCCTTCGCTTGCTCTCTGAGCTTTGCGCTCTCTTCAACCCCCTTTGTCACATGCCGCTGTGCTCTCTTTTCTCACTCTCACTCTCTCTCTCTCTCTCTCACATTCAGGACGATGATTCAACAAAATTGGTTTTTCCTATGCATGGCAAAAAGTGCTTCCCGCCGCCTCGTCGCATTGACTCCACCACGAGCGCTCCTTCACCACCTCCTACATCATATCATCAAAGAGATCGGATAATCCTTCCGTCTGTCCCAGGGAGAAATTGTAGTCGGTATCCAGGGGAGGTGGTTCGATGCACAGGAATGACTCAAATTCTATATTGTGAAGGAAATAGAGGAGCATTAGCACTTCACAGTCTGCACATTATTGCCACCGAATCAGGGACATCTCTTCGTCCCCCCACGACACCGCCATTGTCATCTCATTTGAATATATTGAAAAACACAGTCGCCACTCGAATGTAATGCGAAGGATTTTCAGCAGTATTTGCGATAAGAAGGGGCACATTTAGAAAATTGCTTCTAAAGTCCCCATTTCAATTACTCTCCGCATTTTCCCAACTCCATTTCTCAAAATATCACAGCTTAACACCGTGTCACGATGGAGTTTTCTATTACTAGCAAATTTTTCACAATATCATCTATTTGGAATGTTTCACTCCATGAAATTCTTTTCTTTATTGCATTTTTGCTTTGAAAATGCTCTGAAAATTTCATCAAAATATTCTATAGCAAAAAATGTACATATGACATTCCCATTAAATTTATAGTGGAACCGGCTAAAATTAAATTGTTTGTCTGCTCTCCACACACAAAACAACTGCTCTCTTCCTCCTCAAACACTTCGAGTAACGACCATACAAGCATTCATATTAAATATCACTGTTTCATATATTGTTTTTTACTTTCAGGTGTAAAATGCGTGGCGTCTGAATTCATGATGAACATATTTGTGATGGTGACAGAAAGAGACATGAAAGCGGTTAGAGACATTTAATCCACACCAGAGCTGAATCTCATGGTGCTACAAAATTGCAAACGGACATGCAGACCCACGAGCCTTCAGCGCAGGTGTGAATTTTCCCCATGACAATTTCCTCCTTTCGTCTCACTCACAAGATAAGAGGGAAACACACAAAAAGAATGAGAAGCCCATTGGTAAATTGCACACACGCACACACAAAAAACTCTTATTTCCCTCTCATATAGCGTCAATATTTGCCCCAAAAGGCCACTCAATGAGAAGATAAAACTATTAACAAATGTGATTAGTACTGGCGTGAGAAGCTTAATGATGAAACAGAAGCATTTTCTTGTTTTTTTTTTCTTTTCTTTTCCTTTAAAGAGACACACAGCAGCAACACTCTCTTGGCCGTTGATCTTCCTCCAAACACACACGATATAATGCAAGATTAGAATGTCAATGTATGATGAGGAAGGTATTAAACGATATAGTTAATGTACTTTTCGTGCACACACTGTTGCCTTCATGAGAGAAATCGTTCAGCAAGAACTCAGACTGTGATGCGATGTCAAAAACACGCTGGTCACAGCCAGAGTCCTTGACAAACAACTCCCAAACGATCAATCTCTCTCGCTCTCTCTTCTCTTCTCCTGTGGTCAATCTATCTCTATCTCTGCCTTCCAGAAGCACCCTCACACGCGGACCATCATCCAGACTGTAAATCCTTCAGCATTCACAGAAATATGTATACTTTGCAAATATCAATTACTGTTTTTAGTCAGCGCACAAACAGAGGATGATAAACCCCATGATGATTATCTGCGATATGCATTGTATGGAATATCGGCACACAAAATGTGGAAAGCATATTAAACAGTAATGGAATATTCACAAAGCACTTTTGTCAAGATGGAATATGGGAAAATATATATGTAGATAGTAAGCATCATCAATAGGCACCAATTCAACTCACCATTGACTTGAGACAGGTGGTTAGGACTTAAATCATATTCATTGAACAGCGTCCATTGTCTCTCATCTGGACTGGATGACAACTTCCCGTCGCTCTTCAGCGTCGACTTCTCCTTCTTGGGACTCTCCGTGGACACTCTGTCCTCCCTCTTGATCTCCCCACGGCCAAGCACCGATGTATTGCCTTTAGTGCCCATCATCGATGATGCCTCCTGCTGTGTCACCACAGGTCGAGTGACACTCATGCCAAAGTCCTCGATGCCATCGAAAATCTTCTTCTTGCTGTCCACTCCATCCCCCTCGAGCAGCGGATTAAGGTTCCTCTGGGCCGAACTCACGCCGTACACTGTGTGCGCGCAAAAAGAGAGCCACATAAAAATTACCACTAAAACACTCCAAAGCCTCGCCACTCACTCTCTCCAAACACACACGAAAGTCATCTCGTGGTGATGAAGAGGCGGCAAACGAAGCTATATAAATGCAGGAGATTGAGATTCAGTAGCGCACTTACAGGATTTTCGCTTTGGACTCATGAATTTATTATATGAGCCAGAAGCAAACATTGGCTTAATGTCCTTCAACAATTGCTCTGTGGTTGAGTACTGGGACGAGTTGTCCGTCGAACTCGCGTCTGGACACAAGAATACATCTATTTCACCCTTCTCCGACTTCAACATTATCTCCAAACCACCATTTTCCGGTATCTGCAAGCAAGCACACACACACACATAATCATTACAAATTTATGATATAGAAGAGACCATCTCAAAAGCCTGTCCAAGTTAAATCTCCCATCAGAAGATTTATCAATCAATATTCATACCGTGTTACAAGCAATTCATTGAAAAAGTCAATTTGGTAATGCAATAAAAATTAAATTATCAACCATTTTATGGTAGTTTCATTGCAAATTCGCTTCAAATCCTGTGATGTGGAAAATCTCTTTACACCACATACGCGAGCTACATGTATATATACACCACCCAATCAGACACAAGCTCACTAAGCTATAAATTTCTACAAAATACATTATATGTATATGTACATATAGTGTGAATTTTGTAAGTTTTCCAGTCATTAAACCATGATGTCAGCACTTCTTCCAGCATAATTTATGCTGCCACGAAAATGAACGTTCAGAACTGGAATAATATATCGTCAAATTTGTGATTCAATAGAAAATTTAAATTTAAGTGAGTCAGTGAAAAAATTTCCGTTTGACTGATTACCAAGTCGGAGTAGAATATTATAAGAGTGCCGCAATATTATTGCTTCTTACAATTTTGCACTCTAGATATGCAAATAATCGTGCAATTGGTTTGTCTGCGTTGCGATTCTTCATTGTGAATTTCATTCAATATATCACAACACATTGACAAATCAATACACAAGGAAAAACGAAAAACAACAAATACACACCACTAATTTGGCATCCTGTGGTCCTTTGATAACTATAACAGATTGATCTTTGAACATGTCTATCGAGGCGAGATCCTGTCGTGTTATATATCCATATCGATTCGTCTCGAATTGCGTATTGAACTCATCACGCATTTGAGCAATTAGAAAGTCCAGCCGATTCTCCTTCTGCTCCAGATAGTCACTCTCCCTCTTCACATCCTTTGTCAACTCCGTGAGTGTTGTGCCACACTTCCATTGGATGTTGTTCTTTGACTTCTTCTCCAATATCCCAATGCCTTCGAGAACATTGGTTATGTCGTAAATTCGACGCTTTTGCACATTCAACTTGGCCGATGCGACATTCAGATCCACAACACCATCCGCCGATGTTTGCAGCAACTCCATAAATTTCCTCGTGAGCAGCCCCAGTGAAGTATCATATCGACACACCGGTGAACTGCAAAGGAGGATGAAGAAAACCATGTGTCATTATCGCGGTTACAGTGGGGTGGCGAGAAGGGCATCCAGAAGAAGAAAAAAAAATCATCGAGTTCTCTCTACTAACCATGCGCCCTCCGAGTATCGCTTCTTCGAATCCACCAATTTATCTGTTTTCGCCTGTTTCGACGGTGGACCCGGCGCCGATGTTGTATGGCGGCGCTTCGTTTGCTGCAAAAACACAACAAAAACCCATCATCGGTAAAGAGCGCACATCTTCACATTGTCATCTCACAAAACTAGCGCTAACAGCTTACTCACCCTGTAGTAATTCGTGATATATTGATCTGCCTTGCCACGCATAAACTGCGGCGGCTGAAGGGTGGATCCGTAGCCATGGTCCAGCAGATGCGAACGGATCCTCAGCTGGTTGCCCGTGTTTAGTGTCTTGACAGACTTTGTACTGCCGGCGCATGGTGAGGCAGAATTGGATGTTGCTGAAATGGCGGTGGGAATAACAGACGATGATGATGATATGGCAACACTCTTCTCAATATTCATGTCTAGCTGATCGTCACCATCCTCATTTGGTCGATATTCACTGAATATACCGCCAGTCTGATTTGTATTGGGGTGCGTCATATATTTGGGCATTTTTCCTCTCTCTCCACGTCACTTAGCTTCTGTGGGGCTCACGCTCCTTCACACACACACTCTCTCTCTCTCTCTCTCTTCCGTCTCCTCTCTTCTCTTGCCAGCAGAAAGCACACCCTCGCGCGCTCGTCTACCCACACCCCCGTTGTGGTCACACTGTGGCTCCTCAACACCCCATCCAAAAGGAGATAGACCTACGCCAATTTTCAGCGAAGGAGCAGCTATTCACCGGCACTCTGTGTCCTCTTCTTCCCCAAAATGGCGGTCCGCGCCCGCAGAACGCAATTGACGAAGAAAATACCTCTCTAGCGCACAACAGAGATGATGATCACTCAATTGCATTACATGTGCTTCTTGTGCTCTCGACTCCGTTGCTCCACTCTCTTTCAGCTTGTTTTGTCTCCACAGAGAATCAACCACCAGTCAGCATTCCTGAAAAGTATACAAGAACAGACAGAGGAGATGTATCAAAATTCTATATTACACACATTTTTATTCCACGAGAAAAATACAAAAAACAACAAGAGGAAAAAATGCTAATGATTGCCTCTGTTTTTGCCCACCTCGCGCGCCTCTCCAGCCCAACCAAGCCGCGCGTATAGCATTACCCATCTTGCGTTGTTTTGCCAAGAGAGGAAGAGAGAGAGAGAGGAAAGAAGATATACATACAACTCTCATGTACTCAATAATACCGCGTGCATTGGATCGAGTCAATCGGGGGGCGAAACAGAGCGGCAGCGACAAGGAAAAGCCCGCGACACCCGGGTGAGAGTGAAATGCATGCACACAACACACCACCGAAAAAGAGACTTCATATATCTACATATTGAAAAATTTTATTCACAACCACACATCGTACCTATATGGATAAAAATTCCCTCCACACACTCTCTCTCTCTCTCCATGCCCAAAACGGTTGAGGCAAAATGCTCCTCGCGCGCGTCTGAGTATGGTTAAGAGCGAGAGAGATTCCGAATGAAGGCAGCAATTATGAAACCGGATGAGCAACCCTCACCGTTCCTCACAGCGACTGTTGCTGTTCGCTCTTCAGCACTGCACATTTATTCCCCCTTTGTCCCGAAAAAAAGCTACACATAAAATGCACTCATCTGCTCTCTCTCTCTCTTTTGCTTATTCAACCACATAAGAGTTGAAGGAAGAAGAAAATAGAGAGGAAAAAAAAACAACCCAGGAGAAACGCATACAAAATCATCCATACCCATTTTCATCAGTAGCAATAATATATTACATTACCAACCCAAAGGCTTTTGATAAACTCACTGCTCAACGCCAGCAGTGGAAAAAGGGCGCCATTTGTCTCACACTGGCATTTTTCCGAGACCGAAAGGGCCAACGCAGTCTCCCCTACCCAAGCCAAAATGCCACACATTTCACACAATCATGATGCAATGCAAAGAGGGAAGTTCCCGAGGGCAATACCTTGTCAATATCATAGCCATTCTTTCGCGACTCACTGCCATGGATCAATGGATGTTGCGAACATTTCTGCACAATGTCCAAAATCCGGTGAAAACCATCGCGCTGCTGCTTTCCTCATTTCCTTCACTCATTGAGAGTGAAGCGCGTTCATTTTCCGCAACCCCTCCATTCGACACGACTCTGCGTCACTCACAACATCAAACGCCCACCCTCCATTTCACCCCGCGCACACCGCGCAAGGAAAACGGTTAGGCAACACACCAACTGTTGTTAAAGAGCACGCCAAGGAGGATATTACAAAAAAGACACCAAAATTACACCAGTTAAAATGGTAATTTTACAGCATTTCGCTGAAGAAACTCCTCGAATGGCGTAACGACAGTATATTCAAACATTCGCACCGCACGAGAGTTTGGACGATATCGAAAGAGGGATGAAACTGAAACAACAAATTTCAGCTTCACCCTCAGCGCGGCTCAGCACATCCCTTCATTTGGCCACCCATATAGCCTTCTCTGTCCCTCACCAATCTCACCCTTCGCGCACTCATGAGATTATAGGCCTCTCGGCAGCAATCTAACGAGGGAGACAATGGAATATGGTTTGTGCCATAGAGAAAGAAGCTGCTCTGTGGGCCTCCTGATGCAAAACTCACACGAAAGCAGGAAGAGAGGACAGGCAAGAAGAGCATAAAGAAGTGCGTTTAGAAATTTTTCAGCTCAAGCAACGCGCTCATGTCGAGTCATCGACCTCATGTTGGGTCTCAAAGCCTTTTGTCACCACAACTAGTCCTGTCCTAACTGATTGTCGTGTTCAAGAGGACAATCGCAAAAAATCGCTCAATTTCTAGTGCAATTTCCCGTTCCCCCTCTGCCCTGAACTCTGTTTCTCTAGTCAGTAGAGGAATAGAAGTTACTATGGAGTGAAATTCAACCTGGAAATTACAAATATATACCCAGAATCTTATCAAAACTTCTCCTGATATCGCGTTTTTTATGGAAACCACAAAGCTTTGCAATGGAACTCTACTCAGAAATATTCACAAACACTGAATAATATCCTTTGAATCCCAATTCGAAAAGGAAGCTTTCCAATAAGAATTTCCTACCGCCAAAAATTTCAACATCTTCCCATCCTCAGCGCATCATTTCCCTGCATTCCTGGCCTTTTTGCGCCCTCTCGTGTGTCTCTCCTTCCCAAAATGCTGTAGTCGACTTTTTTCCGTCTTCCAGGCCTCTGAGATGCTCTTCTTATGGGCTCTCCTTACCCCAAATATCATGTGAAATTCAATCTCATACACTTGAGCTACCCATTTAAAATGAGAAAAATTCCTCTTTTCCACTCTCTTTTGCTCTCTCTCTCTCTCTCTGTCGCTCTTGTCGTATCTCCACCACACACCACACCAAAATCTACAAAAGAGTAGTCCCAACATCTCTACACAGAGTCACAGAGAGGCACAATATATTGGACAACACCGGCTCATTCTCTTGTCTTTTTTATCCACCGTATTTCAATGAACTAGACACGAAAGACTGGATTTCTACGCGAAGGATCGATCGAGCACCTCATGAAGAGAGAAGTTCAATAAATACATGGGTCATCTCTTGTGTTTTCTTCTTGGGCCTCCTCTCAATACACAAATGCTTTGGGGTAAAGAAGAAAAAAGGGAACCAGTTTGATCAACACTGTGTGTCTGGGATGTTTGCGCTCTCCGCACTTCACAGACAATATAATCACAACTCAATTGGGCACCCAAAAAGATCTGAGAATTTGACCAAAGAGCCGCCCTTAAATCCACATTTCACTTCCCCCCTTTTTGCCCTTCTTCCCTAAAAGCGAAAGAAAAGCATTTTGCCAAATTAATCACCTGAGTTTCCGCCTCAAACTCCTCAACTCATCAGTTCACCCTCAGAATCTTCACTTTCATTTTCCCCAGAAAACCACTTGGCATTCAGTGTTACAGAATTGCCCAATACAGCATTAAAATGAAAATTGTATTTGCGCATTTGTGTATAAAATGGCGACTTTGTCTGGAAGGCGAGCATATAGCCAGAAAGAGGTTACAGAGCGGCAGAATGTTTAGCTCTTTTCCTCCTCCCCGGCCAAACCTCAGCCGGCGGACCAAGAGAGATAGACAATGTTGCACACTGAGCCCTACATCTTGCCGGCAAACTTGCCGGAAGCCACGATAGAGGCTTTTCCGGAGTGAAGCAGCTCGACGAGGGGGTTCCCGGGTGGAAAAACGTGCATAACGAGGGGCGCTGACTTGAAGAGTCACACAAACTCACCCGAGATGTCAATTGGCATGCATTCTCCACGCGCCCCGGAAGAGTTCTTGGCCAACACTCCTCCTGCCCCCCACCTCTTGTGAGACTCAAACACCCGCCAAATACCCACGATTTCCGCGAAAAATAAGGCCCACCGCGAGGGCGAAGCGAGTCACTGTGAAAATTGGATCGATGGGAGTTTGAGGTTATTTGCCAGAGAGTTCGAGACTGACGCACCGAAAGCTTCCGGACACTTTGTTGTCACTTTTGCTCACCCATTTGGCGCGACTGGCAAGAAGGTGGATGTGATGGCCCCGCGAGAGCAAGAGATAGAGCGGCCTCTTGGGCCAGAAACAATACCAACTGAGCACACTTTATCCATTTTTCCTCCTCACACTCGCTTCTGCTGCTGCGACCCTTCCGGGACGAGAGGCGCACACGCACTCTCACGCACAGCTCGGGCCGTCCCGGAGCCATTCGGCCGGGCGCGGGTGGTCGTCACCTTGAAAGAGGGCGGAAGTCATGGGGCGCTGCCGGGCTCCGCAGAGCCTCATGCTCTCCCCCCATGGAAATGCGGACAAGCCACGAACACCACCACAGGCTGAAGCGCACACGGCCAAGCCACACGCACCGTTCGTCATGGCCGCGTCCGTCGCAGCGCCGCGTCAGTGCGTAGCAAATTCCGGAGAAGCCCTGCGCCGCCGTGGGCGGAGAAAAAAGCCCATCCCGAGGTGCTGGGAAAAACACTACTCACATGCAGGTGATCCTATCTGCGGCTCCTCATGTGGCTACCAGGCATTCCCACGACGCAGTGACACCGGGAGTCCGGGGCCGCCCGTGGAAGCTCGTTTAGCGCTGCGCCCCCTGTTGCACTCCAGCCACCACCATCGGCAGCACCGCAGCGCACTCCTGACCACGTTCACCGGCAAGACGCCACGGAAGATGCCCGGAAATGGGGCGATCGGGGACTGTGAAAAATTTTTCGCGGCGACTGAGAAAAATGTCTGCCGCTTCGGAAAGCGCCCTACTCCGACTTCTCTCTCGTTCTCTCGGACGCGACGATGTGTGTGTGTGTGTGTGACTGCGTAGAGAGAGGCCCAGCTATGGCCGCAATTTGATCGCGTCGCTTCGATTTTCAGCCCGATTTACGCGTGCAAATCCACCCCGAATTCACGATATAACAGCATCAATTAAAAATACGACTTCCGGCCAGTGAGGGGACACCACTTTCAGGGAGGATTTCGCCGGAGATGCTCACGTAATGTCACCTCGAATTTCACGCCCCAAAGTTAACTTGCACCCAGTTGCGCGCAAATGTACACCTCTCAAAATCGACGACACAATGGCAAATTCTCAAGCCGTGCGCGGTACTAGAGTGCCGAAAGAGGGCGGGACTAGATTTCGACGACACATTTTCGGAATTTGCCTGAATTTCCCAATATTTCACTCAGCCTCCGTGGCTCTTCTCCTCTATGTGGGGAGCTGTTGCTCCAATTATCGGTGCAATCAATCGCGAGAATGCAATAAAATAGCCATCAAATGAGCTTACCGACAATATTGATGTTGCACAATTTCGAAGAAACACTCAAAGTTTCGATAGTCGTTTTGGCGCCAAAATTCTTTTTTGTTCACTCAGCTCAAAACCGAAAAAAATGTTTTCTTTTCCAATTTTATTACTTCACCAAATACATGGAATTCAGTGTTGTCGAAGGAAAATTTGTTGAATAAATCTACACACCAGCGATATCCTTTGTAATGTGTAGTCCCAGATAGAAGACCCTCAGTGAATTCCTCAAAATCCACCCCTCGAAAATCAAAAAATCAGAAAGGAACTCAATGCATCGAAATTTATGAGACAAACGTGTCCCTTCACGAAGGGTAGATTAAAAGGGAGTTCACACAAAAAGTTGCCAGCTCGAGCATTTTCCTCTGCATCCCTCATTCGGGGTTTTTTGTGCAATATCGGGTCTTTTGAGTCCTGTTCAATGTATTGGTGCTTTCTTTTATTCCAGCCGAAATTTATAGGATGTGTGGCTGACCCAATTTGAATTCGTCACTCTGCTCTTTGAGATGCAGCATCAATGGGAGCAAATTCAATGGGTGACGCCCTGAGAGGCAATTTAACAGAACCCGTTTTAAAGTAGCACAATTGGAAAAATTAAAGGCACGGTAAAATGGTGACAAAACCACTCTAAATGTCGATAATTACAAAGACTTCGTAGAAATCTTTGGTGGGGTCTTGATTAATCTGCATGGCGGAGTAGGTTATTGCCTTCACTTCGGTGCCCTGAGGGTGACGCTGCAGATCGAATGGCTCTCCATAGCAGAGGCACTCGACGGAGAAGGTATCCAAGTCAAACTTGGTGAACTCCAACTTCCGGGCGATGAGAAAGGGCTCAGCGCAGAAGAGAAAGAGCAATTCGTCCAAGAAGCGAAAGAGCAACCCCTCAAGATCATCCGCCTGGGCCTCAATCTTGAAGCAATTCTCCACAGAGACCTTCTCCAGATCCGTCATGTATCCATTCATAGCAATGCCGCACTGCTCGAAAGCCTCTTTCAGCGAAGCGCCCCATGCGTGGAGTCTGCCAAAGAGAGATCAATTAATAAGGGAATTTTAATCTTCCCCATATTCTTCGACTCACTGTACATCAGCCGTGTGGTCAAGATCTGCAAATAAACAGAATTACAAGGATTTCTTAAAAAATTACTCATCGCCAAATGTGCATTCTAACCTAGGAAATTGTGAAATACTTACATTCATATTTCTTCTCAGCAAACTCAATGTCACTCTTATTGAAGTTCACCTCCATTCTATATGCAATACTGTTAATCAACAGAGAGTCAAAAATATCACAAAAAATGCACTAAAATAGAGTAAAACACCCTGAAATTATACGAAATGCCTTATTTCGCAATGTTTACACATGCTTTTGACACTTCAATGTGTTCGAAAATTCTCTCCGAATCCCAGTTGCCCGTAGCGCCTCTAGCAACAGGAACCAACACTTGCCCCATTTGAAGAATAACGATGCGACGATTCAGTTGAAAGGATGTTGAAATTTTGGTAAAAAATGTATAATCTCCTAGTTTATTCACAAAAACAATCACATCGCTGAGAAGATGGTTAATCTTTAATGAACCTGTCCAGTGGAAAATGTCTGAAAGACTCGTTGAAGATGTCAGTAAATGCAGTGCTGCAGAAAATATTCACGATAAGAAAAACACACGGATTATGAAAAATGCAAGAGTGAATAAATTGTGCATGATTTACCTAACCAAATCGTTTATGAGCGGCTTGATGAATGGAAATCCCGTTTGCCACATCGAGTTGATCACAACATCAGCGATATTTTCTAAGAAGAGACAATTTTTTCATAACTTAAATATGTAATTAGATCTGTAATCGTTATATCTGAGATTATACTTGACGATTTCCCAATTTCGACACGTGAAAATTTGTGAATTTACATAAAATTAATGTTTGAGAACGCAGACTGACACTCCATTGAAACTTGTATGATTAATAATTTTTGAAAGCAAGGTGATTTAACTGGTCAGCGTGTGGACTTGAGAAATCTCTCAAATTAAAATCATGTTAAGACTAATTGAATTCATTACCTAAAACCCTCCTTCCGCCGAAGAAGTTGGAGATGTGCATGGACATGTCGCCGATCTTATCAATTTCCACTCTGACTTTGAGGAGTCCTCCGGGACCGCCGATCCTCGTGACGCTGGTGGTTTGACTATAGTTGTACAGGGTTAGATTCCACACTCCCTTTGTATTGGCTGGATTCCCTAAAGCCTGAGCCTTAAACATATACTCGCCATCGAGGCTTTTCTCTGGGAAAAACTGTGAGTAGACGATCCTGTTGTTCTTCGCGTCAGTTCTGTATTTGGTCACTTCTGAGTTTGTCCAGCCGTGTTCCGAGACATTGGTCAGGATGAGACGGAAGCCACCAAGGCCTCTAGCGTCGCCTCTTCTCTGCTCAACGTACGGCGATCGGTGGGGATCAAAAGGCGCCACATTGTATTCAGGAATTCCAACACTAAACAGTGGCCGGAGATCATTGAAGGCTCGCTGAATGCATTCATCAAAGTCCGGAGAAGACTTCCGACAATCGCTGAATATGTCCATCACGGCGTCTGCCTGCCCGAAAACTGCTCCCAAGCACTGAATGGCCACTATTAACAGTCCAAAGATCACCTTCATGGTGTCTGAAAAAGTAATTATTGAAAGTGTCTCAATCACAGAGGCTATAAAGTAATTTGACTAAGAAATGCAATAAATATGAGACAGAATTGAGTCATATTGGAGCACCGAAGAGAGAAAATGTAGGTGATGGCGTGCATAAAGTTTGACCGATCTTTTTTTGGGCAATCATGGCTAAAGTATTAACACACTCAACATCCCACAATTCAGTGATAAACTGAATTTATGTCTTTTCACATTTCATATTTGAAGATGAATGTGAAGAGACAGTTTTCGATGAAAATCGATAAATGCGCGTGCCAGATAAAATGCATCTAAATGCAAATGAAATAATGCGAAATATATTCAAATTTATAAATGAGTCCAAAACATGTTGTACAGTCTCCACATAAATCACATCAGCTGATGAAATGCGTGAAGAATTTGGAAGAAATTTCTTCAATCCAATGATGCAACATCAATTCAATGTCACTCACTCGCAGACACACTTCTTTGGCTTTCCCATTGACAATCTTTTTGCACCATGTTTTCACGAGCGAATAAATTGTGATCCAAAACTGATAGTTGACGTTACGCAACATGTGTTTGTGTGTTAGATGTTTCATAGCCGGCCGCAAGAGATTCTGCGACCACCGCGAACGAGTTCCACAAGAAGCGGAAAGTGAAAATGGAACCAAATAACTCGGCGTTCGCCATAAACAAGATCGCAAGAAAAGTGTAAGTGCATATTCAGCTGATATTGCGCAATTTGTGTATCTAATATCTTAATTGGCAAGAGATGTTACGAGAGGGAAAGGTCAGAAATCGTAATTGAATTTCTTTCAAGATAAAGTTTCACAGCAGTGATCTTGAATATAAAAAAGAAAAAAAAGTTTTCCTCTCTTCAAGATCACAATTTTGAGAGTGTATCTTTGATTGGTGCCAATTTTACGCCATTGATTTCGACAAAACACACACACAATTGACCACAGAAAAAAACAACAAATTACAAAATTATTTTTGACTAAAGAAAAAACATAAAAAAAAATCCACTGATTTCATGACTTGTTTCATGATGAAAGTGAATGCAGAAGAGTCATTTACACAAGGTGATAAGTATAAACAGAAGAGGTTATTTAACTAAGCAAAAAACATCTTTAAATCGGAAAATCTGTGAGGAAAAATTGCAAAAGTGCATTAAATGAGTCTTCTTCTCTTGAATTTTCATTACATCAACTCTCGTAAGCCTGAACAGCAGCAGCATTAAACGATTGACGCAAGTTCTGGCGTTCCACTTAGGAAATAAGCATCCGAGTGAGAAACACCTTGAGTGGAAGTGGATTTATTTATTCAACTTCTTCCAATAGTAGCTTGACAATCTTTCAAATGCTATTCACTGATGAAAATACATAATTTTCTTTACCCAAATCACGCGAAAACAGTCAAAACACATTGTAAAAAATCATTTTAACATCATAGGTTCAATTTTATTGCAGTTGCTACACTGCGCTTGATGTCTCGGTCAAGATCTATTGATTACACAGAACTAGTATGTTGTTGAGTAATTGTTGTCATGTTAAATTAAATTATGTAAAACTATACCTAATTATGGTATTAACGTCCACACAAGAAAGTTAAACAGAAAACCACTAAAGCTCACAAGACAATTCACAATTATTTGCAGCACTTTTACAGTCTCGTGTTCCCGACTATTATTTACAAATTGCCCACCACTTTTGTAGACTTTTCACTCTGACAAAAAAATATGCACAGAATCGTTACCGTCACCGATCGCATATCTCTCTCGACTAAAGACTCTGGGTAAAAGAGGTGAGTTCGAGGCTTTAAAAAATACGATCGCTCGTGGGGCCGTCGAAACACCTTCAAGATTGCGGTGATCATGCTTCGGCGGCGGGCTCTCGAGGGGGAGATATTCAAAAGCTCCGTACAGTAAAAAAGCTCAACAATAGCGCAGCAACACTTTCTGACATTTTTCTCTACATTTGATGGCCGAAAATACAGTTGAAAAGTGAATGTGCCAAGAATTTCTTGCGCCTCATGAGGTAATGTCGTGTACATTGTACCGAAAAAAAACTCAATGAATTTCTGTGGACAATTTCAATAAGCGGTCACGAATGAAAACAAAGATGATATAAGGCACTTTCACTTTATCTGAGCATCTGTACAATTTTTCACACCCACCTTTTATTACATCCTTATCAGTTTTCATGAAATTTCGCCGAAGAAAAGCGCGTTGCAACAAATTCATCGGGGGGGTTCATTAGATAAAAATATATGAACTCGTGTTGGGGGTTTTGAAGTGCATTTCCCATTAATTATGTCACCCATCCATCATATTTTCTGGCGCTTCGGAATGAAAGTCATGTGCATTTTTAACGCTTCAGAAAATGCACATTTATACTTTATCACTCCATCAGCAACACGGCATAGAAATTTGTTATAACACATGCTATTGCATGAGTATTTTGCAACTTAATTGAATGATTCTTTGCGAAAAAAATTCGCCTAAATGTGGGCAGAATGGAGAACCATAACCACAGATGGAAGTACTTGATCGCGAAGAGTAAATTCAAGCAATTCAACGATTGAATGGCGATAATTGTGGGAAGAAAATAATTTTTTTATATAAAAGTATTTCACAGAAATCACATTCCCACACGGAAGGTATCAATTTACAGCCATAAAGTGTTTGAAATTTCTCAAATGCGACACAGCAGTGAATGCTGAAGTGGCGTTTAAAACGAAAGACTTGAACAAGATTAAGCGACGAACCCGCACTGCGAGATAAGGAAATCAGGGCACACTTGCAAGATTGGTGCATTAAAATTGAAAGCAATAGCATTATACCTCAATCAAGTGAAATCAGGCTGTCTTACCTTGAGATGTTGGTCTCTGTGCAGTTTATTTGAGTTCCACATATACAAAATGTTCACAGATTGCAAAATATTTGTCTCATCTCGTTTTCTCAAGTACTCCACACGCCACTATACCATTGACGATTGGACATGATGTGATCTCTTTTCGTCTCGGCGGTCCGCATGCATATGACGGCAAACTTGTAGGTCGCTTGCAATTGAGCAAATGTTACATAAAAAAGAGAAGCAACAGAAGAAGTGGCAGACTTGAACTTATAGAGGTGCATATTGAGATTGTTACAATGATACCTTTTAACACGTTATAGCTGTGTAGAAACATATCCTTGATTGATTAACACTTGAGCAATTTAATTTCTCAAGTCACTTACTGTCGAGGCTTGAGTGGCAATACAGAAGACACTCCAGTCGCGCTCGCCAGGAAAGTGTTTTTTGCACATTTTCTATTTTTCCTGGCCATTGTTTGAATTATTTTTCACCGCCAATTTTAATATCCAGAATTCCCCCGGAGTGTGAAATTGGCGCCAAAGTACACAATATGGCCCTGAACTCGGTAAGAATTTTAATTGGACTTTTGAACAAAAGAAGCTCGAATATGCCGCCAATTTTTCCTCAACCGGTGGCATCTTTTCCTTTTATACAATCACTGGGAGAGGAGAAAAAAAACAGATTTTTGCTCCATTGTTTAACTAATTGTGCGAAGCGATAGAGAAAGTGAAGATTGTACTCCAAGGCGTCAGTATTTATCTTTTTCGTTATTCTCTGACCATCTCCGTCTCCTCAAGTGCGATATACCGGTAACAAGTGACACGATCATTGCACTCTTCGCGCGGAGATTGCCATTTGAAAGTAAAAGTCTCCAATGCGGATGGTGGGCAATTTTTGCCTTACATGCGCCTAGAAGGAAACGCGATAAAATGCCATCAATGTGGGCTGGCACTTCCGCCCTCGAGGATCACCGCGAGACGGAGGACCAAAAAAACCACTGTCCATGCGCGCCAATTAAAAGCAATGTGGAGTTTATTTAGTTGAAAGTCGTATGCATTAGAATTAGATGGATTGCAATGAAACTATTGAGCAAAAATTACTAGTTTTTTCTGCAACCAGTTATGCAAAAGGAATCACAGATTTAGTCTCTGAGTGAAAAGTGGAACTGAGTTTCTCGGTTGAAGTAACTCAAGTTAGATGATCAAGAAAGATTTCTTGGCGGAAACGTTTCGAATTACCTCCTCGGTTTTCTAGTTACCAATCCTAGTTTAAGGATTCCAGAGAAAACAAAAAACTCCAAAGCTTTCCAAGCAAATATTCACAATTAACCCAATTCCACTTGAAAAACTCGATGAATGTCGAATTTATCTTGCCTCACCCGGCTTCCGCTTGAATCACGTTGCTCAGAAACCCAAATAGCTCATATTCCTTGTTTGCTGATTTGTGAACTCTATGTTGGCGAATGCGGTGACCATTGCAAGTCAATGGGTAGCATTCGACAGTCAAGTTTACAGAAATTTTACTGGTTTTTTGCTGCCGCAGGGAAGCGCGGAGTGTGGAGGCTCAAGTGCTGGTGGAGTCCAGGTGGGGGCTGCCCTGGCGGCTCTAGACTTACAATTGCTCCACCGAGTCTCATCAGAGCTAGGCACGATTCCAAGCAGAGAACACCGACAGCGCCCCGCTCGCGAAATCAAGTGCATTCAGCGACACTTTGTGTGAAAATTTCGGTGCTGTTGTATAAAGAAGGCGTCCTTCGACCAAGGAAAATAGTTCTTCACGGTTGTTTTAATATTAACCTGAAGAGCACTTTGTGAGAGAAAAAAAATCGTCAATAAGTGCGTCACAGTGAATAATAGTACTTCATTATACTGTGATAATATTGTCTCTTCAAATTCACATCAACTAAAGTACAAAGCAATCAGAATGAGTTTAAACATGTGGAGGTTCATCTATGTGACGATCTTCATCTTGGCAGCATTTGCTCAGACAGCGGAGAATCGTAAGGAAAAAAAAGTTTTATAAAGCTGAAAAACTTTCCAGAAATCGCACAAATATTGGTGTAAACATCATCTAACCAAGTCATTGTTTGTCCAAAATGAGGGAATTTTTGCCCAGACGATGGCAAGTCCAAATCCCATTGCGCATCCAATTAATTCTTATTCAAGAGTCCATAGAGCACTGTCCGTCAAGTGTCCAATTGACACAATTATTATGCAATCAGCATCATCAATTTAATCATTCATACACTCACCCGTAATTCAGCTGCAATTATGGCTTTTTCTCTCACCTTTCCTCATACCAATCGATGAAATACTGAGTGAGTCGAAAAGGGTCGTTGATCCTCGAGTCATACACTATTTCATCTCCATCGCCACTTTCCATGTCACTTCACCCACTTTTGACCCACTATTCGACCATGTTTTTCAGCGCCTTACATCAAACAGTGTAGCCGCTCTGATCCTCAATTGTTGGACTGCCTGCGAGATGCACTTCACCATTTGCGGCCCTATTTGGCAACCGGCATACCAGAAATTGAGGTAATTTTGAGGAGTTGTGCAAAGATTTCAGTCGCGGCTCTTTTCTCTTCCATTGGGTGGGACACAGTGACAAACTGAAGACACATTCATTATTGACAAAATAGGCACGAAAAAATTAAGTAATTTCCAATTCACTGGGTGGTATTTGATGGCATTATGTTCATTTCATATATGGCTTAGAGGGGAAAAACAGAGACGCGGATGAGGAGTGAAAAGACTGAGTGACTCTATTGACTCTCCAGCAATGCATAACGGCGTGTAATTACACTTTTAGAGAGCCATTGAGCAATTTTTTTCAATTGTTCTTGATCTGAGATACTTTTGCACCTTGCCCACATGCAATCATGTCCAATTACTGTGATTGAAAGAGACAAAAGTGCAGAGGGAGAGAGTGAACAAAAAGCGGGTTTCTTAAAGACGGTCAGGTCACAGTTGGAGAAAAAGCGAAGAAAAAAATGTAAATTTCGTTAATCTCGTCGTGACCATGGTTCGGATGAATCATACCAGAGTATGCAACGATTACGTAAGGATGATTTCGTGCAAGAAAGCATCCAGTTGAACCCAATATGCATTATTACATCAAAATAGTCTTGGGCTCTCGCGCCATATATCATAACACAAAAGTCAATGTCACACTCACACGTTCAAGGTGAGTGGGTGAGGAGCGTGAGGAGCATTTTCACTTGCGAAATCCGCCACGAGATTCATCATCATGGAAAAGCACGGATAGGTTCCTTATGTCGAAGCCTATTAAAAACTGGAAAACATTTCAGAGAAAAAGCTCTAAAATTTTTGTGTCAATGCTAAACTCATCTATTTTACACATGAATCGTCATAATTTCATCTTTAGCATTCAGTTCGCACAACAGCCAAAAAGTGATCTGCTTCTTTTATCACTGCACCTTCGGCCAAACCTCCAAATTCGTCATAAGAATTGTCAAACAATGCAAAAGAGGAATTTTTTTACAAGCAAAACTTATTGTTTTTCTCTCATACCATCATTTGCACTTTTATGCAATAACGAAGCCATCGTTTGTGCCTTGCTGAAGAAATGATTATTGAATATTAAAGACGCCAAGATTTGCTAAGAATTGCATTGTGATCTTGTGCAAAAAAACGACTCTTATTCAATTGGGTATTTGCCTTCTTTATAAATGAACACAAAGAATTGAAAATGAAATTCTTTTGTGAAGATTACTCATTTCTACTTAAGAACATTATACAGCAACCATGATGAAAACGAAATTAACATCACACATAAACTCTCTTTACAGCAAGAAAACAATTGGAAGTTATTAATACATAAAAGAGCAGCAATAACAAGCAAATAAAAAAGTCTTGAAAAAAGATGACTTTCGTCTTTATAGTTGCCAAAATGGCTCAGGGATAATATTCTTTTTAATGTCATTTTTTTACGAACACAATATTTGAGTGGAAAGCAGAAAGATATACTTATCAATGTTCATATTTGTGCAACATCAATTACACATTTGAAAAGAATATTACATTTCCCAGGAAATGCATTAACAATTTTATGAGACAATCTTAATGCCTGCTACAAAATTAAAAGAATTTATCTCTTTTGTACCTAGGAAAATTCTATTTCGAAAGCATTCCCACGTGTATTACGTAAAGCTTTTTATTCCATGTATCATTTCCACTCTGCAACACCAGAAAACCATCAAAGAAGTACATACAAAGTAAAACTTGCTACACCGTGATGAAAAGCCTCTAATCAATTTATATCTTATAAAATATCACTAAATAAGTGTTGTCAAAAGGTCACAGCAAGAAAGGAAAACAGCAATTATCAATAACAAGTCTCTTTATCCAAAAATAAGTACAAGAATTATGAGTAGAAGAATATTAAGTCTAATTGACGATAATGTTTTCACTCGAGGTCGCACAATTAATCTTTGCCAAGACCGTGGCATTGAATGTGATCTCTAAACCCGAAACGGCGTGATTAGATAATAAAAGTTCTGATGATAGTTATGCAATATTATCGAGTTCCGCGAATGGATCATTTCTTGCAAAGCAATGTGATTCAGAGAGCTATTAATTAGTCTTTGAGATTTCCACGTGAATTGAGTATCCAGCTTCAAATATAATGTATGCATATGAGGGAAAAGCACGTTCCCATCACTATTGTTGCTTGACTGGTAAACACTATAACACTGCAATATACAGATCGTTATTAATATGACGTGATGCGCAAAAACGCACCGGTGAAATCTTCAACACTCAATTAATTGTGATAATTCCGGAATGAGCATTTCCTTACAATTCATTTTTACACCGCAGATGCCCTCTGTCGAGCCCTTCGTCATGGACAACCTGGCCCTCCAGCTCACCGGCGGACCCCAGGGTTACCGAGTGAACCTCAAGAACATGGAGGTCTACGGAGCCAGCAACTTCACCGTTAAGTCTATCAAGTAAATTTGCAATTGTGTCACCGAAAAAATGAAGCCCACTGACAAATTGGCAATTCTTCGCAGGTTGAGCGAGAACAATAAACCGTTCGAGGCGAGAATTGCGCTGCCCAAGTTAGTCATCAAGGCGAAATACTTCAGTTCCGGGGTGCTCATCATTATTCCCGCCAGTGGGAGTGGAGACTTTGCCGGTGCTTTCGGTGAGTGTCTTTCTAGAGAAGAAAGCTCCCCATTCTTGGCCTGGCACATGCTTTCTCACACTTGTGAAGATCAAAGCCATAGAATTTTAATTTGACAACATTTTTTATTCACACCATAAATCTATCTAAGGCCACCACGTAAACTTGGAATCGTACAATTGATTAATAATTCACACATTGGCTGTTGAGATAATAAAACCGTTTGAAAATGCCACCAAAATTGTATAGGAGTTGAGAAGATTATATCGGTTAGCAATGTAATTACGTGAATGGTTTATGTACGTGCCACTGAATATGGCATAATTGAGTAAATATTACAATTGGTTTATCAACCTATTTATTAACCACTTAATCAACAACTTTGTAACAATCTCATGCTCGTGAGGCTACGCATTGTAATCTCCTACTTATATCTAATTTCATTTTCTCTAATTGTTTACTTTGCATTTTTTTACTTTCTCAGATGGCGTTGTGGCCGATATCCGCGGAACAGTTTCAACTGAACCACGTCCGGAGGGTACTTTTATGCGCGTTGAGACACTTGGCTTAGAACTGACCATCAAGAAGGTGCGACTGAGCGTGTCCAAAGTCTTCAACAACAACAGAATATTGAGTAAGTGGGCCGAAAGTGAATATATCCCCTCTAAAGTGTTCATCCTAACCCTTGTTCATCTTTCCAGCTGAGGCCACAAACCTGTTCCTCCGTGAGAATGGTCACGAGGTGGTGAAGGCAATGCAGCCGCAACTGCAGAAGAAGCTCTCGATCGAGTTTATGCGCATTGCCAACCAACTGGTTAAGCATGTGCCCATAGAACAGTTCCTTCGTGATTGAAAGTGAGATGTGCCTCCATGCCACCATGGGTGCGACAGTCTGAAGAATGTCTCTCGTAATAAGCGCAATTTCCATTTCAATGCGAATCTTGAATACTTCTCAAAACAACGTAATTTTCAACAATTTGTTTTTACATATGTATGTTTTAAGTAGTTTCCTATAATGTACCATTTCCACCAGTAGGCACAAATCTGTCTTAGGCTTAATTGAGCGAATTGAACAATACATTTTTTTTATGAATATATGGTTGATAAACTATAAATAGTGTGTTTCACTGCTCACATCACTGGTAATTTATGCATCTCCCAGTGTAACTTTGTGCAGTCGTGGCGGCAATGGATTTTCCACCTGTCGAGTATCTCAAGTTTATGTATGGCTGCAAGAGAATTTCCTATCCTCGTCTATTATGCAATACCCCACGCAACGATCAATAACCTATGTTCTCGTATGCATAAGATCTAAGTGGAAATGCCATCGATTGAGTTCAAGGTGTTTTTTGACTCATATGATTCCATTTGGAAAGTGCGTCGACGCTAGGATCAAAATGCACGCAATTAACTCGATTAATTCTATACATTTTCGATCATTGTCTTACCGGTGCCCTTGCACAATCTCCGGTAGACACTAGCCGAGAAGTTTTCTAATGCAATTCATGAATGGAGAAACACACTTCCCTTCGCTAATGTATTTATGGACTTTTAGTGCACTGCTAGCGGCTATAAATACATCATTGCACCATTGGAATGATTCATTAATTTGGAATAATTGGGCAAAAAGTGGAATTCACACTTCATCGTGTGAAAACCATTGCGAAATCGGAAATGATAGAGACGTTCTAGCTAAATTTCACTGGAAGAACTCAAACTCCATCGCCCAATTCCATTGAACGCTAATTGCGCCCTTCCTTCCTCGATCGATACGATCAGTGACGCTTCGCGATCCATTTGGAAAGTATAAAAATCATGCTTGCAGAAAATCGTTACATTTTCATAATATAACTACATAAATTTGAAGTTACAAATTCTCATCACGTGTGGAACTCATCGATCGCAATCATTTGTGGAAGGTGTGTGTGTCTTCGCTAAATCCACTGATTTGGCGCCAATTATATATCTTACTACTCCGCGCTTGAATAAATGAGTTTTCTTGCGAAGGTATGTCCAGATGATTGTCATCTTCCATATGTGACATTGAAAAGTAAATCAAATTCTTTCAGATGCTGCTGTGGACATACTTTCTCGTATCTCAAAAAGCCTGAGTCACAAACTCTTCTCGTCAATTAATTGAAAATTGAGGTAATTAAGTAGCACTGAGTGCATGGGTAAATAATGTCATTATCTGCTCGATGCACCGTGAACGAGTGTCATGGTCAAATGGTATAAACAAAACCCTTTTCGCTGGGTAATTCTACCGAAAGATCTCGAGGAATCGTTGAACTCCTGCCCAGAGACATGGTGAAGATCACACAAAGACACATCGTTTTCCGATCTTCTGGCGAATGACATCTCTTCATCGGCCACTGAGCGCTTTGTATAAAATCCAAGGTGAAAAAGCCGCGAAGGTTCATTCATAACGACGCATCGCCAAGAAGAAAGTGCCTCACGGAGTGCAAAGTGAGTGGTAAAGAGTTTATTTGTGTTTGGGGAAATTTCTGTATTGAGTGCTCTTTTGTGAATTTTGAGAGAATTTACGCTAATCACTATGAAATACTCCATATCAGCTGCAATTCTACTTGCCCAGTGCATTCTCTGTCTCTCAGAGCAGCGTAAGAGATTCCTCAGGAATACCTTGATCCTAATCAGATAATTGTGAGATGTTAAAATTGCAGCTTACTACCTGCAGCAGTGCACTAGAGATGATCCGGATGTAAACTCCTGCCTGAGAGAATCGGCGAATAAATTCGCTAGACACTTGAGAGATGGAGTTCCCGAGCTAGAACTGGAAGAGGTCAGTGCCTAATGCATTTTACATCAATTCTTATTGTTTCAATTCAATCACACATTTGCATTGCGACCGTCAAGAGAGCGAGCGAGCGAAAAGTGGCGAGAACGCAAAAACCAAACACTTTGTTTCACATTGGAGTTGTGCTACATCTCTCGTTATTTGAATATATATAAAAATTAACTGTAAAGGCAACATGAAAAAATTCCCATTCAAGCGACGCGTCAGCTGTTACATCGCGACAGCCACGCGTAGTTATCGCTTGTTGTCTTGGCATGATGATAAGGTCAAGAGTTTTCCTATAGCTGGAATAATTAACATGATCTGCAGAGAGTCTCTTCAATTGTCAGGTGGAGCCAGTTATCGTGGATGAGATCAGTATTGTTCTCGGCAATGGACCAGAGGTATGCCCAGCACTTGCACTCATTTGCATAAGCTAACAATGTTTCTCTTAAATCACTCTGACTCAAGGGCTATCGTGCCATTTTCCGAGACATCGAAGCCTTCGGCGTGAGCAACTTAACAGTGACCAATATTCGGTGAGTGTGCCACATTCTGAGCCGCCCAAATGACTTTTCCGAGCCTTCGTTGGCTTCATTGTCATGTATTCGATGTGTTTTCACTCCACAATGTTACATATTATTAAGTCATCAACCAGTTATGGAAATCAGAGGGATAATCACGTTTGCAGCGGTCAATGATCGAGATTGAAGATGAAAGAAGTAGAAAAGAATATCAATGAATTTCTCTCTCCTCGCCAGATCCGACGTCGACACCTTGCAATTTCAGCTCACACTGGAGATACCCAAGATCAAAGTTCGGGCTCAGTACAGATCGTCCGGAGTGCTGATCTTGGTACAGGCCTCAGGAGCTGGTGACTATTGGGGTCAATATGGTGAGCAAGTTTTACCATCTCTATTGTTTTTGGCTCGCTTCCTCTAAACCGTTTACTTTCATTTGCACAGAGGGTGTCAAAGCGAAAGTGTATTTCAAAGCTGTACCTCAAGAGACTATTGATGACCTGACTTATCTGGCGGTGGAGCAGGTGAAAATGGACTTCAGCGTGAAGGAAATCAATATGGGCGTCGAAAATATCGCCAATGGAAATAGCATTATACGTGAGTTGAATATAACTTTTTAATTACGCCAGACGTATTTTCTGATAACAATTTCAAAAAATGCAGGAAAAGCTCAAAACAGACACTTTATTCAATTGTTCACGAGAATTTTGATTCGGATACTCCCGAAACCCGTTTCAAAGATCTTCCAGAGGTCAAATTGTTGAAAATATTTTCACAAATGAAGATTATATCGTGTAACACGTTTCCCTCTATTCATGTAATCTTTTTACATACTTTGTAGTGGAATATTTTAAATGAATAACTCAGTTTAACAGTTAAGGTCAGCGAAATAGATACAACTATATAAGCCTTCCTAGTCATGGAGTAAAAAGTTTTACTTTTTTCGGCTTTTTAAGTTCAATTGCACATATGTCAGTTTTTTTTTATCAATTCCTGTTTTACTAAAATAGATCAATAAAATATACACGCGAGCTTTTTACGGATTGAAATATTTTTGTTTGTCCATGTGACCTCAATCCAATTGCATTTTTTGCCAAATTCTCCTGTTATGTGTACCAAACGGGTCCACAGCAGCGAACAATTAAATTCTTCCACTTTTATCCATCGAATGATAAACCTTTTGAAATTCTTTCATTGTCTTTGGCGCTTTTTGTCACATTGAATTCATTTGTGAGGTTCTTCTAAGAAAAAAACATCACATTTCTCTGACATCATGGCATGCAAATACACTTTTCTAATCATCAAATATTGTTATCGCATTCATTCACAGAGGCGGCTCTCAATCTCTTCATCAACTCAAATAGTCAGGAGCTTCTGAAGGAGATGAAACCTGCCCTGAGGGCCAAACTCACTACAGTTCTGCACAATTTCATGGATAAACTATTCGAGAGAGTTCCACTAGAGTACTGGATTGTGTGAAATCGAGACAGTCCTAATCGCATTTCATTCCATTTTATTATTTTTCATTAGTAATTACTTTAAATTATTGTATGAAATCTTTTCTCTTCACTCGTGTTTTCCATTTACGTTTCCACAATCACATCTTCTGAATAAGCAATTCCCCACACATTGCAATTTTATATCCATTACAATCAATTGTTGATTAAAATCTCTCGATGAAATAATACAAAATTATGAGAAGTGCAGTAGAGTTAGGAGAATAAAGCATGATCAAAATTTTCACTCAATCTCTGTCAGTTTAAGGAAAAATATAAGAGTGCATCTCACAAAATTGCTCAACAACAATGTAATTGAGCATATAATTATTTCTACTCCGAAAGTATCACTTTATAATTAGACTTTAAATTGCTGCTTACGCGAGAAATTATTAGATGATTGAAGCGAGCAAAATCAGTCAAAGAAACTGCAAGTCCGGAGGCAAAAGTATTAGGCGTAAAGTAAATGACAAAAATGTGAAAACACACATCCAGTAAATGGTTCGTCGAAACCTGTTAACACCTCTGAATTCGCGACTTTGCCAATTTCGCCTGAATTGTGCCAAAATCCGGATGTTCTTGTGTCCAATGTAAATGTTTTCTGATTGATATTGAGAGAATTTGTCGCCTTCGCCAACATCAAATTGTGATTACGTTGAAACTATCTGAATGAGAAGCAACGACAGTAAATGCAGAGTACCTTCGAGATGGAAATTGAGTTTTCTTGCTCGCACTTCCTTTTCAACCTTCCCCTTTTCCATTTTTTTCTGTACTCAAGAGAGCGAGAGAGAGAAAAAAAGCAGGGAATTGTAAATACACAGACGTGTTGTATGAAAGGCAGGTTTGTGTGATTAACCACTTAAGTTTTCCATCACAACCTACCTGCCGGTATAAAAGAACAGTTCCGAGATTCTAGCCGCTCAGTCATCGTCGATAGGTACTGCGAGAAAAATCATTAGGAGTATTTTCGGTGGAAGAGTCTTGTGATAGTGCCAGAGTGATTGAAAAGCAAATACACATTTTACTATACTTTGTCGCGCAGATATTTTGTGTTGTTTCACCCATTAATTATAAAAAGTGTAAGTTACAAATTTAATTAGTATCTGCCAAGATCGTCAAAACAATTCATTTTTCTTGCATGAATGGTGCTGCTAAAAAATCTTCGGTCATCTCTATATTTAATCGTGTGACTTTGGTCTGATTAGCCATTTGATTAATATTATGACTTTTCAGTGGAAAATTCCCCTTCTAATCACGAAATCTCCCCAAATTATACATACACAAACGTCTTTCGTTGACTGTGAGTCAGCAAAGCAAGTGAAAAAAAAATTACGATATGCGAAGCTAATTATGCTGGAAAATCTATAAATTGGAAGTTTGTTGCATAGGATGCATTCTGGCTATTAGAAGTGAGAATGCTCATAATTATAAATAGTATCTAGGTCTAGTTAATAAGATGAAAAAAACGTGGCTGGAAAATGCACTTAAGTTCATATCATTTCGTGTTTTCTTGCTCTCTTGCGACATTTTCCGGTTTGCCACTGGCTCAAAATTTACCATACCAGAGCCACAATCTCGCATAACTTGATGTGACCATGATCTGTTCTATTTTTTTCTGCACACTCAATTAAGGGTAGAACCAGAAAATCCACACATGACCACAGCAATATTCCCACCAAGTTCATTACACATTTTCTGAACGCATTCACTAAACCTATATAACTGGACGCTCAAACCATAATCATGAACGTATACACAATTAGACTTAAATGCAAATGTTGGGCATCATCAATCTCGTTTTGTAAAAATCTCAACACTAACAGGGACAGAAAAAATCAAAAAATGTCACCCTAATAATGCATTATTGCTATTGCAATAATAGTGCAAACACTCAAGCAACATCCTATCAAAAAGTATGTTTGTATTCGCTGGTTTCACATTTTTTCCTCCGCACGGAAAACAATAGCAGGAAAAACTGACAATCAAGCACTTTTTCTTAGCTTATCAAATGACCGTCTTCCGAGATTTAACAGGTATACTTTTGATACACTTCCTCGTGTTTACAACTCTTGATCATACAGTATAAAAAAAATGCCATTGAGAGTTTTAGTGGAATTTTTTAATCATTTAATGATCTTTTTCCCCAAAAATTCCAGAGAAAATCATGTTGCGGGCATTCAGCCTCGGGCTTTTCATGTGTCTGTACGCTTCAGTAGCAGCAGAGGATGTTCGTAAGTAAAGAAATATTCGACACTCTTTGACACTCATTTTCACAATCAGGAGAATAATGAGTATGTGAACACTTTTCCAGCTGAATACCTTCACATTTGCCAGCAGACTGACCCAGAGCTCGAGCAGTGCATGATCAGGAGCATAGAGCAGCTGCGTGCGAAGTTGGCTGTGGGTATCCCGGAACTGGATATTCCACGCCTCGAGCCCATTGATCTGGGCGATCTCCTTGTTGCCGGAAGCAACACACCGAATGGCTTAACGATCACTGCCAAAGACATTCAATCTTACGGAGCATCCGATTACCACATAAAGAAGATTGAGTGCGTTGGAAATATCTAATTGCCGTTCACACGGGAAATTTATTCAATCACTTTCATAACAATTTCCAGAGTGGTTGAATATGGTCAGCACTACAAGCTGCAACTTCAACTTCCACATCTTTACACAAAGGGAAGGTATGCTATCGACGGACGCGTTCTGCTGTTGCCCATCAAGGGTGCTGGAAAGTTCACAGGGAATTTCAGTGAGTTTGCAATTAGCGACATCTCCTCCATTGTCCTGATAATCACTTCCTGAGGTGAATTTCAGCGCGATGCACAGCAGATGTGACGATGGTTCTGGAGCCCAGAGAGATCCTCGGAAGTGACCACATCATCCTGAAGCGACTTCAAATCAAAGTGAAGGTGGGCAAAGGCTCGATGTATTTGGAGAACCTCTTCGGTGGTGACAAGACTCTGGGAGACATTGTTAATGACACTATTAATCAGAACTTCGAAGTTGTGAGCAGAGACATCATTCCGCTGATTGAGAAGGCGCTCGAGCGACACTTCAAGAAGACGTCCAACAAAATTCTCAGCAGATACACGAGGGATCAGTTGTTCCCATAGCAATTGGGTTAGGGTGATTTTTTGTATATGAGAAAAATATTGTAAATACAGCTTATGAAGTAAGAGTGGATATTATTTTACATAAAAATAATTGATTGTAATTATTTGGTTCAATTCCTCTGAGGCGTAACTTTAGTCCTTCGTCTCTTCCAGCACTCAGAAATTGCAATTTTGTACAAAATGATCATTGCAAGCAGAAAAGTCAAAAGACACAGCAAAGTAATCTTTGCCGTTTCACGAGAAATTGATGCTGTTTCGATCTCCTGTTTTTTATCCTCAGAAATTTTTACATCATAGTATTTCTCTGAGGTGAAATATTGATTGCATTCTAAATCGTTTGAATCTTTGCATGTGACAACATCCGAGCAGTCGCTCTTCGTATTGTGACGGTAATCTCTCACCAAATCTGTCACCACCATATCAGATAGAGTAATTGCTGTGAAATTAAGATGCTTCTGTACAATGAAGTCCACTACTTCGAGACTGGGATCACTCACGGTATCAAGAGTTAATATCAAAGCACCTTCATTGTGAGTCAGTTCATTGATATCCTTGCAGCCCCAGAAGATGATGTGTCCCAATTCGGAAGTGTTCAACACGTTGGTTAACTCATATTTTGACTGCATATCAAGAAATATAAACCATTTTGTCCACATCAGCTCATAATGACAATTATAATACGTATTCTGTGCGCCAGTTGAAAGATTTCTGTCCAAAATGTACGAAATATTTGCGACGGAAATTGGATCTCTCGAATTGAGGCAAAATTTGAACAGAAATTTGGCGCAAAGACTCTTCTTGTACACCATCGATAGGTATTTGCATCCTGGAACGAAGTCATTTTCTGGGTTTATGAACCAACAGTTGGGTTCTCTGAAGAACGTCTCACCAGATTCCAATTCTGGCAGCAGAGAAAGAATATACCACTGACGATAGAATACATGAGAATCCATATAAAAAGTATTTGCATATGGTTCAGGACACTTTCCAGGAAACACTTTGAAAAGACTCTCATCAAAGCATGAGAGAATCAGGAGCAATTGAATAAAACTATTACTTCCGAGAGTCATCTTGAACTGCTGCCAAATCATATTCCACTCAAATTAATATATTACGTACAGATTAAATCGTGATAATTAATATCAATACATTGCAAGGAACGAAGATATTGACATTCATAATTATTTTGCAATCAAACAAAACATTCTATGAAAATAAAAACACCCATAATATGGGTTAATCGAACGCGGGCGCAAATGGGGAAAAAACTACTCAGCATAATTACTTTAAAAGCGCATCAAACAAGAGTGTCTCAAATTGACATCGCTCGTCAGTTTAATTTGTGAATCGATACTTATCGCACCGACTAATTGTTCACCATGAAGTGCTCATTTTTCATAATGCTGGCCGTTCAGCAGACATTAAGCCTAGCTGCGCATAAAAATGAGATACGTGAGTGAGAATTTTCAAAGTGCAATAAATCATGTTACTAATTGGATTCGTCTTTCCCAGCAAAATACATTCACGTATGCAATAGAAATCTCGATCCTGACCATTTGAATGAGTGTGTTCGACGATCAATTCTCATGCTAAAGCCCAGACTCAATCGGGGCATTCCTCAGCTCTCTCTGCCGTCCTTCAATCCACTGCGTCTGCCCAAAGTATCCTTCTCCCAGGAACAAGGCCCGATCAATCTCAATTCCACGTACACAAATGTCAAAATCCATGGTCTGTCTGACTTTGACTTGCAGAGCGTGAAAATCGACTTGAAGAAGAACTTCTTTCAATTGAAAATTGTGTTCCCGGAGCTCTACATGACTGGCGATTACAACATCAATGGACATATGCTCATGCTTCCACTCCAAGGCAAAGGAGTCAGCTATGGGAATTACAGTGAGTAGTAGAAGAAAACTTTAGTGTCAAATTTGTCATAGTTTAAATTGGTGGAAAAAGTGTAGTAATTTTTGCAACTTTTATTGTTCATAAACGATTCTAGAATGTCCGAAAAACTGATTAATGTATCACCATGCGAGAGAACGTACGATTTATTGTGGAAATCTAACAAAATGTGCAATTGGATAAGCAAAACAATGATCAAAAGTGTTTTACAACAGTTTATTGAATTAATGGCAATTGTTATTGCGGTAATTTAAGTCATTTCCGTAACTGATGAGTGTTTATCATCTTTCCAGCTGATGTTGAAGCGACTGCATCACTGTTTTGCGAGAGAGTCGCTGGGAAAGGCATGAAGGAGCATTTCGTTGTGGAGGATCTCTCTGTGGAATTTACAATCGGCGATGCAACTTGGACATTTGACGGAGATAATGACCTGTGCGCAGTGATGAATAAGTTCATGAACGACAACTGGAGGATTGTTATCGGCGAAATGCGTCCGGCCATCCAGATGGCCATGGCGAAGATCATTAAAAAGATCACAGGGAAGATCTTCCAATTGTACAGCATCGATAAACTCTTGCCGCAGTAATCAACGCTCTAAAAAGCCACTTTTTTATGCTGAGCCACGAAGCGCGTACGAATTATGATTTCTCAATTGCGACTTTCAATAAAGCCATTACTTATATGTGTTGCATTTGAAGCGGTGAGAGGGTTTTTTTTACCCAAGCACTAATATTGCTCTGATTTGTAGACATAAAACATTTTAGGAAATTAGCATGATTTTTTTTTCATTCATCAGCGCAAAAAGACACGCCTCTGAGGTATTGCCACTTTCACTACGGACTAGTTCCCCGGCTTCCGGTCGATTTTACTGTATAAGCCGTGCACATGCTGCGGCGTATGTGGATGAAAGGTCTTTAAAATAAAACGGCACCGACATTGAACGCCTAGCCCACTCTCTTGTTTGTTCATTCAGTAAAATCCATTTCCACCAAATCGCGCGACAGCACGCTCCGGTGGCTCGACTGTCTGATCATGGGATGCGAGACTGCAGTCGGTTGAGGTGTAAAATTACGTATATATCGCGCTGTAACGAATTAAGGCACCTCATGTGATAGACTGGCGGGAATTGCAGAAGCCGATGACCAGCTTTTTGAGTAACCACCAGCAAACCTCACGAGGCATTCGCAGCTCAGCCGTGCAGCGAGTTAGACGATCTTCTGCACCTCCGCAGCTCCAGTCCAAATGCACTGCTGAGCCCCTCAAAGGCATTGCATTCTCGCCATTACTCAACCACAGTGTGACTTTCTTGTGCAAAAGTGAAACGGGATAATTAGCGTGCAGCTCAGCGAGGACATTTCGATCAACATGCAAAATTGCATAAAGAAGATCTTCGCATCTCTTGTCATCTTCGGATATTTCGGCGGTGCTCTAAGTGCAGATGTGCAGCAATTAAGAGAGAAACGTGAGTATTGTGGGGAGATTTTCGTGAATCAGAGGGAATTTGCAAAGCTGTTGCCACAATCTTCAACCTCGACCCAATATCCGGTGATGCTACAGTAAAATAAGATAGAAAGTGTAAACTTCATACATCATGCAAATGGAAACCTCGCATTGTGTGATTTCCCTGTGTATAAATACTGTATGCATACTCGTAAATTGTATAACTGAAAAGTACATCGTGAGCCTTCTCACCTCTTTTCTCACACCATCATCTTCGTGCCACGAACTCCATGAGTCTGAGCCAAGAAAGGGTACACAGCAGACCACCAAATCAATACCATCCCGTGTGTTATTCAACTCTTTTATCATGAGTTCCACAGTGGAATAGTCCATGGCAATTATTGTGCATAGTTCGTGCAATTTCTAAGACCGCAAACGCGGTAATTGGGTGGACTGTTGACCGGTTGCTAATAATTTTGTAATCATATTCCACTTTTATGCTTTTTCAGCTGATTGGCTACTCACCTGCCCTAGAGAGAATCCCAATCAAGACGGCTGCTTTAAGAAAATGTTCGAGGGAATGTTCACAAGATTAGCCAAAGGTGAGGCACAAGAATATAGTGAGCAAGCAGTCACTCACATGAGAACACAAATTGCACAATTATGCAATGCACTGAACCACTATGACAATATTACAATTATATACATTCATCACACCAGGCAATTACTATTATCGAGAACTTTCTCAATAAATCACTAGTGAAATTTACAAATACATATTTTTCTTCCAGGAATTCCCGAGGTTGGCATCGAACCTTTTGAACCACTTAGGATCAAGGATGTGGAAATCTCTAAAGGAATGGGAAGTCTAACACTTGCCGGAGGCTTTCAGAATCTCCTCGTTCGAGGCCCATCCAATGCAACAGTGCGTCGAGCTCTCCTCAACTTTCAGGATCGATCCCTCGACTTTGACCTAGAACTTCCCCTTCTGAGGATAAACGCCACATACAATCTCAAAGGGAATGTCCTCCTTCTGCCACTGGTCGGCAATGGGGATGTTAAAATGGCCCTCAAAGACGTGCGATCGAATGTCGCAACGAAATTCAGCATCAAGAAATTGCCCGAGGTTCGTTGAAGACCACTTTTCACTTTCAATTTCGATATGGCCGCAAAGTAGGCAAAAGTAGAAGTGATCGCGATATCGTGTATGGATTGGAGCAGGTGTATAAAAATCACTTTTCATACTGTAACAGACACATAAAATCGTATGCGTTTGATCACAAATTAATGACCGATGAAGTGATTTGATCCGTATTTCAGGTGGAAATTATATGCTATGCTTCTTGTTGCAGGAAGTGATTCAAATTGATGAAATGAAAGTAACATTTTTAGTGGGTGGCATGAAGATCCACTTGGACAACCTGTTCAACGGCAACCAGATCCTGGGGGCATCCCTGAACCTCTTCCTCAACCAGAACTCCAACGAGATCATCGCTGAGCTGAGGGGTGATCTTGAGAATGGACTCACAAAGATTTTTATCAATCTGTGGAATAATGTTTTCTCCAGGATGCCAATTAAGCTGTGGTTAATATAGATAGAAGTGGAAATTAGTCTTTTTGTACCTTAATCTTCAGCATCACTGAAAGATAAATGTGTTTGGCAAAATGCTCCTGATACGGACAAAAACCTTAACCCTGACACTTTATACTGTTTTTCTTTTCTCGCAGAGCTATTAATGTGATTGTTTGCAAAATACACCTTTTTTGTAATTAGCTGATATCGGGGGATTTGTCTAAACCGAAAAGTTTCTACAGAAAAAAACTTGATCGAAATCAATTTGTCAGTTTTGATGAATAAATACAATGTAGACAAAAAGTGCACATGTGCTCTCAATAATTTTATTGCTAATATGGACCTTTGACAAATGATCTTGATTGTGCCTCCTCATCATTGTAGTCAGGTACTCTTGTGAAATTTCTCACAGACCGGCCTTGAGTACATCACACCGAAGTCAAACTATGCTGCGATGTTTTACGAATTTAAATTACTGTGAGTGACTCTGTGATAAATTTATTATATCACAAAATTTCTCGGCATGTGTCTAAGAAGCTTAGCATTTCGATGGAAATTTTTAACAATCCCCCAAAGTTCTTGCAATTGCAAAAACAGACCCTGTTTTGTTCCCCTCAGGCCATCAAGGAACTTCAATTTATCATACACGTGCTTAATAAAAAAGCATCATAGACGTCTTTCCGAAGACTTTGCTCTCTGCGCAAAAAGAGTCAATAAAACAATAAACTTTTATAGAACTATTTTGATATAAGAATCAACCACCTATTAAATGATAGGTCTCTCTAATAGTCAGAATGTATTGCCCAGCGACTTGATGAGTTGCTTCACAGAAAGCTACCGAAAACGTATAATTAATTTTCCAATTTACCAGTGACGTAAATAAGCTATAAATGTATTTTTTCGTAAAATCTAACATAAGAACTGTGAGAAAACTGTTAAATCATCCTCACGAAACTGTAATTATGACTTTCCAGTAGTGCCCATGATATGAAAATTTCCTCATGTATTGACAGATATGCGGCAGAGATCACGAATAGGTGAAAAAGACAAGATTATCCCACTCACCTCGGCTTGTGTTAGCTTGAATATAATCTGAAGATATTATCATATGCGTATGATCGACAAATCGCAGGTGATTCATGCTCTTGCAATGAGTTACACGAAGTGACACAATAAAAGCGCACCCGGTAAAAATAATAAAGTGCTTAAATGTATGCATATGCGGTCAAACATTCTTGCACAACAATCGGAAGAATCACTTTGGGCGTGCATGTGGGAAAATTATAGGTAACGCCGAAGAAAACACACAAAATATTATACAAAGAAATTCACGGCGAAGCAAGTACAGTGTCAAGGGTGCAGTACAATGCTCAAGAGTGGAATTTTCCCCTTATGCAACGCAGTCTTTCTGGGTCGGCCAAGAAACCAGAGTGAGTCTCCTGAGATAACGCGGCGCTCTGCAAATTCTTCCATGTGCTCTCGCTCTCACCGTGGGCAAGTAATCCACATCAAGAAACCACTTTTGGGTTCTCGTGCGCGCGAGATAAAAAGTGTGCCTGAAGACGTCCGTGACACTAAAAAAGTGACGTAGTCTCGTGAACTTGGTACTCTGCCATCCATCTTGCGACGCACGAGAAATTCGATTGGGGAGCAATTGAGCAGCACACAGCGCGTAAACAAGAGCCCCACCACGAGCGGCCCCCGGCCCAGAGAGGAGCAAAAAAGAAGCCTTCCCGATGCTTTTTCTCCCACGACAATACGCTGTGGTGGAGGAAAACAGAGGACAACCCGCCGTCTCGAAAACATAAGACCGAAGTGGCACCTCAATAAAAATTTACCACCGTCTGTGGCAGACGCGTCGACATCAAAGCTCACCTGGGTTGACGTTGTGTGTGTATCAAAAGCACGACCCCACCGCCATCCGAGGCGTCTGACATATAAAAGTTCGGACCATTTGTATGAGTCGCTTACTTTGAACGGCGCTATACAAATAGCAAGACGCGCGCGCAAATCATTTCCTTGCAAATGTGCTACTGATCAAACTCCCGATCGCACCGCAGTTGAGATAGGAATTCTGTGAAGAAACTGTGAGAAAAGTCTAGAGAAATTACTTCCATTGTGCTCCAAAAGTATCCACAGCACAGACAGTGTGTTCCGGGGATTCCCTGTCTTCCCAAAGACCGTCTCACTGCTCATGTGCACTGAAATAAGAGCCAAGTGTGTGCTTAGAAAGTGAATGTAAGAAATTTTTGTGAAAAGAACACGGCAGAATTGCTTCATTCCTTTTCAAAAAGTTGGGCATTTGTAAAGCGAAGAGAAAAAAAAACGAAATATTCTTATGCAATGTAAGATTTGTTATACAACGGACACTTTGATAATTTATAGGCTGTTGTGAGTCACAAGAAGTAATAATTTTATCTATTTCAACTTTCGTGCTACCTATTTGTCCGCGAAACAAAGAAAGGATTACAGACGAGAGACTGTGTTGAAAGAGTTCACTTTCATCTTCATCCCAAGTTGAGAGAGTTTTGCAGAAGAGTTTCAATTCAAAACAAGACAGACTCTGACAATATGTTGGCTGTACATCAAATCCTCATCTTTGTGGCTGTTGCACTTGTGCAGACACATGGAGAACAGCAGACACGTAAGTATGCGTCACACGAGGAGGACCCTCAAGAGTCCTCCTTCGCAGTGCTGACCTCATTTTTAATGGTTCACCCAGCAAAGTGTATCATACAATGTCTAATGGCATACTTACACACATTGTAGCTTAATACATTCATTAAATTAATTTCTCTCTCATTTCGTCACACACACACTCAGGTGAATTCGTATGTGAAATTGATGTTTGAAATCGAAATTGAGCTTAGCTATGAAGCTATTACCGTACCAGCGTCAAGAAATTGCATAATGGTTCTCCTATGTAGCGCATTTCATTTCAACTCCTCTACCCAGTCTCATTTTCTACATCGCGGCGGCTTATATCGCCGAGAGATGAGAATACAAAGGAGCACGATTTGACATTATATCTACCCTGACAGAGTGTTTCTTCATCGGCCACATTTTTATTTTTTCGGCATTTCAAAAATAACTACATACATATGTACACCCGTGAAAACGACAGAAGCCAGCTAGCCGCAGATATCTCTTGTGAAAATTCCCCTCACGAGTATACTTGCCGAAAAACCGGACACTCACTGGCTCATCCTCTCCATTCATGCCCGCGACACCGCGATTTAACGGCACGTGATTCTCCATCTCATTCGCGGCCGTTGATGAGATGTCCCGCGCAAGTGTCCAAAAAGCAGTGAGAAAAATAAAAGAACTGCAATTAATAAGTGCTCTCTGTTATCTAATCCATACCTCAAGTAGCTGCTTGGGTTGGCAAAAGTGGCACACGGCAATTTTTCGATTATATAAGAATGGCTGCGGTGCCTCATGGAGCGCTGGGCAATACCCAAGTAATGCACTTAATTCGCTAAAAGTACATACATATGGAGTGTTCAGAGCGAAAATTAGGCGATGAAATACACTGAAACACCCATCGTCAATCTTCATGAATCATGCCATCGGTGGCATGAAAAACCTGCCATTTCTCCAGGTTGACCCTCTCCACCTAGTGAGGGTCATAGAGTACAATATTGCACTGAAAAATATGAATAATTTCAATGGAAATATTTGAAATTTCATTGACGCTTGCCCAGTGCAAATATACTTGAGTTGGATGTAGGATAAGACAAAGAGAATTTGTTCTTTGTGACGATGACATATTTACAAACACTTGTCAACAGAAATTTAATTGAATTGCAGTAATTAAGTTGCTCATATCAGGCCTTTATGAAAGCCCCGCCTACTAAATTACCCAGTATTTTATCCCAGTAAACTCTAATTTTTGCATTTTCCGTAAATGTACCTATTAAATACGATAGCATGATATTTTGTTGTAGGAACTTTTCAGTGTGCTTGTTCGGTTTTGCTCTTGAAAAATCGAGACGCAACAATAAGAGATCATTCGAAATAGTTTTCCAAAATCTACTTCTAGCAAAACAGTGGATATGCTTTGATATTTAGAAAATATTTCTTCAGTACCCGCCTATGAGGAAATATCCCTCGAAGCTTATTGATTTCTACCCGATCCGCCGCACTTGAGCAATCCAACCAATCGTTAATCCAATTCTCCACACATCTCAAGCCTCACTTTCATCCACGCGCGCGTCACAGCCATACAAACATTTTCCCGCGATTGTGAGTCTGCAGAAAATGGTACGCAGACTGCGAATCTTCCACGAGTCGTTTCTGTAACTGACCACCTCTCTGCGGATTGTCTTTCCACCACACAGTAGCTGGAGGATCTTTCACACACGCCGCACAGTTGTACTGTTTACATGGCGTTGCCGACACTCTCGATCAAGTCTGGCATGTTGCAATGCTCAAATATCAATGATCGCGACGGTAAATTTGCGCATTTGTATGCAATGAAACGCGAAAAGGAGATGCCAAAGTCTGTCAGTTGAATCAGAGGCGAATTTTTCGCTCAATTGCATTCTGCAATGGGAATTCCATTCTTCTTTCATTCATACTTTGGCTTCTGAGGTTCGCTTGGATACGAAAGTGAAATTGTGAAATGGCCATAATACGTGTGATCGAATGTTAATCAATCTCATCTTGAGTATGAAATTACTGCTTGAGATGCTGCGAATTTGAACCCCATATTTTCCCATAATGATTTGAGCATTCTCGCGCGATTGCTTCTTCATTAATCCGCCTCTGAAGAATCACAGCCTAGACGGAAAGTCATACGAAATTATGCAATTTAGCGTGCCGCACGATACAGAGACACGAAACATGCGACACATCATTTTCTGGTCAATTTTGCTCTCTATCTCTCATTCTTATTGTCACTCGCTTGCTCTTCGTCTCGCCATCTGGCGTGGGGTGAAAATGTATGTGTGTCCTCCTTGGGCGAGTCGCGAGATGTGGAAATACCTGGGGCACAGCGAGAGATGAAAAGTCTTGTGAGAAAACAGTTGGGAAAAAAGAGTGCCAATAAACACCATGGAATCATTACAGCAGGAAGAAATTGAAACCGGTTCTCAAAGCTCACGGAAGACTTAAGGTGCATTGCTTCATCCAAAGCCATGAATTTACTTAGATGATTTCAATCTCTGGGTGAGATATTTGGAAAATGTCTCGAACTATCCTTGACACATTTTGAAGAAATTTCCAATATTTCCATCATTTCTTCACATTATCTTTCACTGAGCTTCTGTCGCACAATTTATGGGGTTTATTTGCATTTTCCACCCGTTCTTTCAACACCGCTTCGGAATGAATCAAGTTTGCATTAATGTTGATGGTCTCTTTCCTCTTCTTCCATGCAGCCGAATATATTCTTCCATGCTCGCGCAGCGATCCTGAGCTCAACTCGTGCATAAGGAACTCCTTCAACCACTTAAGGACGTACGTTGTGAATGGCCTGAAAGATCTCGATGTGCCTCCACTTGATCCTCTGCACATCAGGGAAATGGCCATGGAGAACAACGCAGGAGCCGTCCAGGTGAAAGCTCTCTTCACGGACATCGTGGTGAAAGGTGGCAGCAACTACACGATCAAGGATGTTCGTGCCGATATCAATGTAAGATCCATTATTCAACCAAATAATAGATTTCTCGCTCACAACATTCTGCTGCATTCTTTCGCACCACCAGAAATACCGAATTGATGTCAGTGTTACAGTTCCTCGAGTGGAGACGCGGGGCAAATACGAGGTGATTGGGCGAGTTCTTCTCCTTCCAGTGCAGTCGAGTGGAGAATTTTGGACGGAGTTTAGTGAGTTGGCACGCGACAAATTGCACAATCACGCAAGTTAATTATGGTCTCTTTCTCAGCGAACATCAGTGCGATTGGGAAACTGTATGGCCGAGAGGTTGAGAAAGATGGTGAAAAGTACATGAATATTGATAAGATTTTCTTAGACTTCAACCTGAAAAATGCACGCTTCAAGGTGAAAGACAACATCAACAACGGCAATGTCTTGGGTATGTGTAATTTCAATATTGGCATATTTAAAGATGATTGTCTAATTCAAGTGGAACCTTGCATTCAGTCACATAGTCGTTTTTTTCCTGATAACTCCTGTCTTGACCTTGAAAATGGACATTTCTCGAAATGCCTCACTACTGACCAAAACCTTATAACAACTGCAAACTTGGCTAACATTCTATCAATGTTGAATCTCAGCATGTTTAAGCACTTGCATTGTCAACTGACGTGACGAAATGCCTCATAGTCAGTTGCAATTCACGTGCTGTTCCCCTTATTTTTCTGTAACATTCGACATAGGCAAGAGTCCACACTCTCTGTGTCCACATTTGTACATATACACTGCTCCAAAGGTCATGAGGGTTCGGTGAAAAATTTCAAATTTCGAACATGTGTAGTTTAAGGTCATGAATTTGTGTGTTTTGCAATGACTAAACCACCATTGTGATAGGCTGAAAGTCTTCAAAATATTTTGGCCTCGTGCATTTGGTTTCAGTCGTACGCGACACATAAAATCATAACACCCGTTATGGAAACATTTCCCCAAAACAGGCAACATCGGCCATCCTCTATTTTTATTTCACCACATTTTCTCACCCAATTATCACGTAATCTCTCTTTAATTGCCCATCCAAAAATAATGTCAGGTGAATATTTTGCAAACAATGGACAATTTTACTTGGCCGTTTGCAACAAACATGCAAAAGTGAAGCAACAATCGATTTAAGTAAGGCGTCTCATCTTACAGTGCATAATGAAAATCTTTCGATTACGCAGGTGAAGCAATCAATCAGTTCCTCAACTCAAATGCCCAAGAATTGGTCCAGGAGATGCGGCCAGCAGCGTCCCAGAGTGTCGCCAAGCTCGCCAAGCAGCTCATCAACTCTGCATTCAATCGCATTCCACTGAGAGTGTGGCTGCTGGACTAAGAGGAGTTAGAGTCAAGATGAGAAAGCGGATTTTACTACATTGATAGTAGACTTTAGTAGAAATAGGATAAGAAAAAAGTATTTTGCATATAAGATTCAATTGAGAATTATTTCAATTATGATTATGAGTGTAAGAGCAAAACACTATTCCGCGTAGTGCTGAGGAATTTGAGATGTTTTTCAATATTCCAAAGATAGGAAACTATTTCCCAATGATAATTCTAGATTTCGTTTGAAAATTCTTTATTTGTTTTCAACTGTCTCAAAGTTCAAAAAATTCCATGTTCAAAATTTATGATGGATTCACAAAGCAACTTCATCGTCATCTGAAAATTACGTATATACGTATGTCTCAAAATTTGAAATGCGTCTAATTAACTCTCTTCTATTAAGTAACTGAAAAATTTTGTGCAGATTTAGGAATGATAGAAAGCAACAAACAGTACATAATTCCCGAAAAAAGCAAGTTACTCTGGTGCGTGTCACATTACGCCATGGTCAGCAGTGAATCAGAGTTTAATTCGAAAATTACATACCCTTTCAAGTCTCATTTTGTTCCGCGTATTTAAAAATTACTTATGATATTCTTGCATTTCGTTTGTAAAATAACCTCACGAGTTTGCAAGGTTTCAAAATCATTTTGCAGAATTCTGAGAAAAGATGTGATTGTACTGAATGAGAGACAACAAGGCATTTAATCTTCAGTGGAGAAGCAGTAAAAGTGCGAAAATAAATTATTCAGTATAGCTTGATTGCAACATTTATTGTTTTGAGAGCGTTATTTAAAGAAAACATGGATGAAATATTGTGTAAGTGTAAATATTATTAATTTTCTGTAATGGAATTCCTCTTGATATAGGAATAAAGACGGAGAAAAGTGAATTCAAATGATAGTGCATGTCATATGCAATGTAGTGTTATTCTAGTTAATAAGGCAACACAATTCCCTGGAAAATTACATCGATATTATACTTTCTACTTAAGATAAGGACTCCCGTATTGTTCAATTGAGGTGTTTATTTCTAAACGTACAATAGAAGTGAGTAAAAGATGAATATACTGTGAATTTAGGGAAGCAAAAAATACTACAAATTGAATTACATCATAATGTGGAGAATTAAGATTATTGAGTGGTTTAATTTAATTTACTATTACTTCAACAATCAACAACTGTCTTGGATATTTCAAATAAAGACTCTCCCGATCGAGGAGTGCGTTTTAATCTCTGACCGCGGTCATCACTTTCTATGATAACTCCCCACAGTCGAACAACCAGATCGATCCGGTTGCCGAGTCCAGGAAAACGTCACAAGCAATCGATCCACAAGCAGTTTCATTTGAAGCACGCCACTTTCTGAGATATGGACAAACGCAAGACTTTCATCTTCACATTCGACTAATCACGTCACATTTTTGCCAAGCAAGCTCGCCGAATAATTATTACAACATGTGCTCAGCTGTGCGGGAAAAAGCACGCGAACAAGGAGTTTTGCGGAAAAAAGTCACCTTACAGTCCAAAAAGTCGGTTACTAAGCTACTGAGCGGTGATTAGAGATTGAGACGTGCTGATGTTCTTTACTTTTTTATTTGTTCTATGTGCATTTGAGAGCCAAAAGTACAAATTGTAATTTAACTATCTGTTTACCACATAGTGAATGATGTAAATAAATTCTCATGTTGAGTGAGTGTTTGGACTATCTTGGATCTTTTTTTGCGCCTCGTCCGCCAATTTGTAACATTTGATAATGAAACTCCTTTCCACATGAGTGACTCTGTTCCATCTCTATGCCTCCCTTTGCTACTACGCACTTCCATTCTGTGGCATGGCAGCAACATTCCGGACCAATACCAACATTGAATGCATCCCGAAAGAAGTCAATGCGATGCGCTGAACTTTGCGCATCAATCTAGTTGAGATCCGAATAACTGCGCAATGCCCTACTGCAACAATTCTCCGCCGACTGGCCAGATAAGGAGTCGTTCTGATGGTTCTTCACCTGAAAATACTGTTCAGCTCTGTCTCAGCCAGACAATTTCACCCGATAGACTGCCGGAATAGGGCTCTCAGTTCCCTTGACCATCCAAGATGAGTTAATTTGAGCATAACAGTATTAGATCAGTGTCAAAGTCACAAGCTCTGACGAGATTACATCAAAGCGCATGGCGCCGAACTTCTAAAACAACAATACTTACTGCTTGTGATGTGTTTTCTTTTGGCGAAAAAAATGATATAATCGCGAAATGGTTAGATGTATAAGAAATTATGTAAAGAGCGATCATTTTTTCCTCACGTGACAACCACATTTCGCGCCATGAACCATCTTTTCGACTTGCGAATCTACCTAAATGCAATCAGCAGAATCGTGCTGGAAAATCACTCATCGCAGTGTCAGAGTTGACAAATGTTTCGGTGATCGAATTGCCTTTAAATTAATTGTCCAATTAGACACCATGGATTTATCGTCTTTGTGCCGAAATTGTGATGTTATGGCAAAAATATTTTATTTTAATTAATTGCGCCAAGTGTTGAAAAGCCAATTTGATTTTGTTCACACCACAATTTTCACACAAACAGTATTATTTTATTGTTTATGGACATTTCAATTCATTCATCGCCAACATAGGGAGAATCATCGGGTCAGAGGTCGAGTTATTGACACGAAATAAAAACCGCTGAAAATAGCTTTTTTCCCTCCGCCACTCACAGCGCTGTCCATTTTTCAATTCCACAATGAGGTTAGCGATAAGTCTGAGAAAGAGGCGATATCGCTGATAGGCGAATTGGCGAATCGGTTCCGTATTGAAATATGCTCGCCGTCTCACGTAAACATATTTTGCTCATGTCACTCTGCGAGGGAATCTTCCATGTCGGCAACTTTGGGAATTTCACCATGTGAATCTCCGCCAAGGGAAGAGTGCACAAATACTCCTCCTGTTTGATGACAAACTATAGATCGAGGAAAAACATTTGCAACTCCACATATTTGATGAATCCAGCGTAGAGAATAAATTATCTTATCGTCTTTCACACACAAATAAATCAATCCGGGTTCCGGACTGGTGAAAAATGCACTCTGTCAACAGACAATTCGCGTCTGCCGGAAGATTTTTCGTCCACCCGAGATTTTCCACTCGCTTTTCTTATCTCTCGGATTAAGCAGTCAAGAAGACAAAGACTTTCCTCCCCCTCCGTGCGAAATTCCGTCACATAAAGAGTTTATTGTAGCAAAATTCATATTATTATTATTGTTTCAAGGCGCACTTGAATTTTTCCAAATCTCACTCACAATCCCTAATCACAATTTGTGACTGATGAACGTGAAAAGCATTTTCCTTTCATTTTCAGAGTTTGAATAGCGGTACAATGACTGGTTAGGCATTTAACAAATAAATCGGCTTGTGATGTGTTGCGATAAGAAAATAGGAAACGCAATGAAAATCGAGTAATTGGGTCAAATGCATCACAAGAGTTTCTTTATGATGTAAAAATGTCTTGCGTTCTAACTCTTCGACGATAAGTTCTCGAAGGCTCTCAGAATTATAAATAGATACTATTCAATAAAATCTCAGAGGATGCTTATATAAGACAAGCAAACTAATCGATTGATATGTATTTACGACAAAAGCTAATATTAGATTATCATAAATACATTTAACGTCCAGGAAACTGTTTTTCCCGACACTGTAGAATTCTACGAATTGCAAACTAATTTCCCCCCCAGAAAAACCCCATCTTCTGCCTAATGAAAAACAATTAGAGTCGTTAGTCGCTATGCGAGATATGAGGAAATACAAGTTTTGGAATTTTGATTGTCGCAATTGATAAGTGTTTTTGGAGGTCCGATTTCCACTTAAAAAAAACTGTCTGGCCAAACTGATGAATACAGTGGATGTCGTTCCCAATCAATCCAGATTAGTCAGACAATTTCCCTAACCCCATCGTCTAACCTTAAATTGAGCCAATTCTATATTTATCCGTCTGGCTGATCATCATTGAGGAAAATGTTGTTGGTCAGGGAAAATTTTTACAGCCCGCCTCATGTCGCCGCTTATTGTTTTATCAGTCTTTGGCGATGCCAAATGGAGCCTCCATCCGCATATGTTGTGCTATTGAGTTCATTATATACGTGTGAACTTTGACCGATTTGATTCGTATGGCGCTTATCTGCGTAGAGAGTCTGTCCAGGATTAATTTTCAATAGAGTACAGGGTGACCGCTTGACAGAGAGAAGAAGGGAGAGATTTCGTCAGCGATGAGTCCGCATTTAGGGAGACTTTTTAGGGCTTAGAGAGCGCATGAGTCATGCACTCGAGTGATATTACATTTAGGACCGACCGCCCTTGATCGCACACTGCGAGTGTGTTTGTGCATAGTCCTGTGTGTGCGATTGGGCCTTATCACTCCCTGCCATATTCATGCAGTGTCGAGAGGAGATCTCCTCAGTTTAGGTTTGCTTCTCGTGGGATCTGGTGGTGACGAGCCAACACAAGGCTTTAATTGTGCGACCGAGTACATTCAGTGAATCTGAGCCAAAAGTTACGGTTTTCTTCACTGGGGCCTATTGTAACTATTGTGTCGGGTCCACCCAGATCCAGTTTGCCCCTCGTTTTGCTCTCCAGCACAATCATCCGCTGTTGGCACTGGCTTTCGGATGTGCATCGGCAAAAGATGAATAATAAAAAATTCTTCTACAACAACTACAACATCCTGCACTGTCTTTCAAACTTCTCCACCTAAACGTGCACCGTGGCAGTGAGGAGAGTCCTGAGACAAAGCGCTTCTCGGGCTGGTGTGGAGTGAGAAGTATATAGATAGAGATTAGGAAAGTTGCCCAATCTGTCGGTAGAGGCAATTTTGTGCGGGGTGTTTGAACTCAAGGGATTTTAGTCAAAACATTCCCAAAAAAGACAGTGGTGTTAAAAATATATAAGAAGAAACGTGACAAAACGGAATAAAGTAAATCGCCGAGATAATTGGAATATATTTTTTGCCGCCCCTCAAAACGGTTCAGGCGAGAGAAGGAAAAAGAATTAATAATTCAGTCGAGAGAAGGCGAAAAGAGAAAGTGATATATAAATAATTAATCGACATTGTAAAATAATTAAGCAAGATAGCTTCCTAAAAATTGTGATAATTCCTATTTAATACATTACATTCTCCATTGGAATTGAAAAATCGCAAGATATCGCTGGTGACGAGCAGTCGGATTCAACTGACGACTATTCTTATCTTCTCGCTTAACAGTTTTAATTGGATTTCGGTAATATTTTAGCGTAGTACGTGTACATCACTGTGAGAGACAGTTGCTATCAAGGATCAATTTGTGCTGTGCGTATAGCAAGTGCTGACTGACGGGGAGAAGAGCGAGCAAATAATTGGGTTACAATGATACCAAAATTCTCAAAGAGGCAATGGTTAACGCTCATCATTATTGGATTGGCTGACTTTTTCAATGCAATCTGTGTGAGTTTGCAGTCGCCATTTTTTCCAAAGGAGGTAAATTTCCATTTAATTGATTTATCATGGTCACTTTATTTTTCTCTCCCATTTTCGCACTGATAATCTCTCGCATACCCCATAAACACTCACTCGCCATGTGCTTATTTGTTCTCACTGTGTGGAAAATTCCTTTCGCAGGCAGAAGCCAAGGGTTGCTCTGCAACGGAATATGGGCTGGTATTTGGCATCTTCGAACTCGTGGTGTTCTTCATATCGCCTTTCTATGGACGCTACATCAACAAGCTCGGACCGAAAATGCTCTTCAATTCGGGCATTTTCACATCTGGAACCACGGCGATACTCTTTGGTCTGCTTGACCAAGTGCCAGGACACATGCCATTCATCTCATTGGCATTTATCATCAGGATAATTGAGGCACTGGGCAATGCGGCCTTCCTCACGGCGTCCTTCGCCATCATCGCCAAGGAATTTCCCGACAATGTTGCTACAACTTTTGTAAGTACAACAACAACCCCTTTCCATGCCAATCCATCGACCTACAGCAGTGAATTTCTCCCCTCGTCAGGCGTCTCTTGAGACTTTCTTCGGACTGGGACTAATTGTGGGGCCCACCCTGGGTGGCGCCCTGTACGCTGTGGATGGATACTACCTGCCTTTCGTGACACTGGGATCGGCTCTCTTTATCGTGGGGATTCTTACAATAATTATACTGCCCCATCATTCACAAGATGCCGGAATCGCCGCCGATAAGGCGTCCATCTTCCGAGTTCTGCGCATACCGGGCGTCCTGGTGTGCACCCTTGGAATTTGTGCAACTAGCTCATCGATTGGCTTCCTCACAGCAGTCCTAGAACCCCATGTTCGTCAATTTGATCTCAGTCCAGTGCTGCTCGGCCTCGTGTTCGTCATCAACGGCGGCATCTACGCCCTCACAGCGCCCATCTGGGGCTGGATCGTCGATAAGTGTCTCAACCCAAAGATCGCCTCCTTCATCGGATGTATCCTCATTGCTGCGGCTTTCTGCCTGATAGGACCTGCCAGCTTCATTCCGCTCGAAGAGTAAGATCTTTGCACTTTCTCGCGCCACATTCCGAAATTGGAATGCCTTATCGCTAATGCGAAATTATGCATAAACATGAACTTTTCTTTTTTTGCTACAGAACGCTCCGTGTCATCATTACTGGATTAATTTTGCATGGTTTCGGCATTGCTGCAATCCTTGTTGCCAGTTTTACAGATGCACTTAGAACATCCATGTAAGTTTCACATGCTCTCCCTTTGATAAAGACCGACAGAATTGGTGGAAAAAAAGTTCACAAATTGTAGAGGGTCAGCCATGACTGACCCTGTTTCTCCTCTTTATCATGTATTATTTGCATATTTGCAAAACTTTTACGTTGTGTGCTTTAGACTCGAAAATTTCCGGTTGTGACCTGAAAATTCTAACAGATCAGTGATAACTTGTACCGCCCCAAGGTTAGGGCTTTTGACCTGCTCACAATACCCCAAGTTACCTTCCACACTCATTAGGATTTAGATGACTAATCTTGTAATACTATCTGTTGTACTTTTCCGTCCATGGAAAGTGTTGTTTTTCCACGAAACACATGCGAAACCCAATGTTTGTCTGTTGACAGAAGCAAAAAAGAGGAAGAAAGAAGTGTGTTTGAGGACATTGATATTGAAAATCACTTTGATGCTCTTGTCTCGCAGTGCCCGAGGACTTCCGGATAATATTCAGACCTACGGTCTCATATCTGGACTCTGGACATCTACTTTTGCACTTGGCGCCTTCATTGGACCCTCTGTCAGCGGATTCCTGTATGATCATGTGGGATTCAGAAATGCAGTAATATTTGTTATAGGTAAGACGAAGTGGGAGACAATGGGCAATATCGCGAGCTAATATTGGCTGTCTTTCTCGCGCAGGAGTTCACTCGCTGGTCGGCCTGATCTTATTGACCTTCATCTGCTCCAAGAGTTCCAACAACAACAACAACTACAAGGAGCTCGACGCCACGGAGCCTTTACTTAAAGACAGCAACGGCGGCGCCAACTATACAAATGGTCAGACGGACGAAAACAGTAGCAGCACCCCAATTAAGAGGTTGTGACCATGATGATGAAATCCCCCTTGCCATTGGCAATATTGATAATGATCCCATTTGGATTTTTACAGCCATAGGAATGGTCATGTGCTGATTGGTGGCAGTATTGGTACGGAGCAGCAAGTTCCCTGCGCCATGAATAATCTATTGAGATGTAATAGTTACAACAGCAACAGCAAACAGAGCCAATGGTCAAGGTAGAACCAAATCCCCGATAATGCCCTCTTGTACAAGTACATATTTTACTTATTTGTTTTACATTTACATGCACACACTCACCCATCAATCCCCTATATTTACCATCAACGTCATTGGTGCTATTTTCAAAATATTAACACGCATCGCCCAAGATACTGACCGCACTTATCTCTTCCCGTCCACTCTCGCAGATCGGATCATGAACCCGTGGCCACGTTGGAATCCCGGAGTTATGGTACAGTCGATGTCCATCCTGTGCGACTGCAGTGTCACGCCTAGAGTTAGAGGAATTGCACATGATATAGAGTAATTATTATTATGCTTCTGTGAACTGTGTGTTGAAGCGCGCGAGGCAGGAAAAAAAATATTGTGGAAATGATCTATCTCGATATAACAACTAATATTAAAAAAAAAAGCCATCTATTCTTACTCTATGTATATATAAAAGTACTGTACACTCATATAATTTATATAAAGATGTTCGCATTCTGTATTTCTGTGAAATTACTTTCCATTTCAGTTGATATTCTGTAGTTTACTCTCTGTCTCTTTTGAATATCATGACTCTGTAGTTGAGAGGTTTCCCCGCCTAGCCGAGACACATTTTACAGTGGAGCGCGAAACGTTTGTTTATCTCTTTGTATCTCATACGATCACGGTCAGTTGATGCCAAAAGGAAACCGTGTATACGATAGATATTATAAGATAGTGAAAATATTGTATGTTCACGAGCACTAAGATACACTGTAAAATAAGTGAAATAAATCAGCATTCGCAGCCAATGTCGCTCTCTTTCTGCCTTTGCGGATTAACCCGGGCTAAATCAATTGGTACCGGATATTTATTCTCTCCTATCGCTCTGTTTGGGAAACTGACGCCTTCGGGTCAGCGGCCCCGAGCCGGGCAATTATCGCATCGATCATGAAAGATTCATTCCCGCAATTCGCCAACTCTGGGCTCTTCGCGTTCGCTGGGTGAAGTGATGCCTGATAAGAGAAAATTTCTCGACCCAAAATTGTACTTCACAAAGTAATGCACACGAGCAGTTTACGAAATATTTATTAGATACACCATGAGGAAGCACATCGTGTTATTTACAATAAGAGAAATCCAAGGAGTAGCGCAACGTTATCCAATCATTTGGTTAAATACAAATAATTTGGGATGTTATGGCGTGTGGAGATGGCTGAAAATTTTTCCGCTGCCGTTTTCATTTTCATTCCATTTATTTTCTGTCCATCCGCCCATCAATTGACAATATCGCCAGCCCAAATCACATGATCGGCCCGTAGTGAAATTTCTTGTATTATAGATCTCTCCCATGCTCTAGCGATCGGATGGCAACTATTCTTCTCCCTCATTTGTTTGCTCGGCGTCTGAAGCATTTTTTGAAGGAGTGCGCGATGGAAAAAAAACGCTCATCTCTCTGGGCTCTGAGAACATTCTTCTTCCAATTCGCAGGGAATTGACACATGCGTCATCCTCTGACACCATCCCAAGCGCTCCCAAGGACAGGAGTTGAGGAGCTGAGGGAGAGTGCAAACCGCCACTTCCCGCGAGCACACTGCCTTGTCCCGCCGCGAAGCACTTTCCCACACCAACACACCTTCGCGCCGGTGTGGAACGCCGAGAGTGCTAAACATGCACGGCGACAGCACTCGCGGACCCCAAAACGGACCAAGGTGCCAAGGCAATTTAGTCGAGTGAAAGACTTCACCGAGTTACAACGTGTGTCTCGATCCTTTGGCGCTGAACTCTCCGCACACCAGCAGGTGCAGAAAAACTCATCGCTCGCCACAGCCCCAGAAGCGCTGGAGATGTTGTGTTAATTCGCGTGTGGTTTAGTGTGACTTTCCAGCCAACAAGTGCACTTTCCATCGCCTCAAATGATATTAATTAGTTTTTCGTGAATTCTAGCTCACGATCGCTAAGTTAAATATTGATCGCGCACACCTTTCCATCTCCATATTGGCTCAAGTCATTTCTAACGTGCAAATTCAGCTTGAAACACTCATTTCTTGCCACCACTCGATCGTTTGAGAGCGCTGGTGGAAAAAAACTGTGCTCGAAATACACGACTAAACCACACAAAATCTCACAAAGTGATCGCGAGTTTGACGAGAGAAGTTGGCATTCTTGCAGTTGCGAAAGGACTCCGCGGAGCGCGTTGGAGAGAATTCTCTAAAGAAATTGTGGCTGCTGCTCATTAATCATACAAGTTGAAGTTAATATCTTGACTGAGAGTTTGCAAGGAGGAAAAAAAAGCGAACAGGTTTTAAGTGTAAATATTATATTTGCAATTTTCGCGTAGTTGATCAAATAATCACGAGTCGTACACCAATCCCAGAAAAGTGACATTTACCAGTTGCACACACAGTGATCTAATATATAAATGGATTTGAAAGGCCTGTAAGAGCACCTCTTTTCTTCAAGGTAAAATGAAATTATATTTGTGAGACATTATTTATAGGATCGCAAATTAGTCTTGTATTTTAATTACTCCGCCGAGGTACAAGTGAGCAAGTCAACTTGCTATCATATGCCCAGCTTTTATGGCGCATTCCTTTTTATTAAACGCCAATCTCGCGGCGTTTCAACACTCACCCAGATCACTCAATCACCCGTTCTCGCCAGCATTCACCAAATTTCCAATTTGGCGGGCGATCGTTTGGGAAAACGCCAAAAGTGACCCCGCGAGTCGATTGGAGGTCTTTGAGCAGTGTGACCCCTCAACCCGTTGCTCTCCTCTGCCCGGCAGGCAAACACCCAAATTCCCAACTGCCTCACAACAAACCTGTCGATAGGGTGATGGTGGATGAGTAATGCGTTGCCGTGGCAAAAACTCACTCGGCAATCGCCATGGTAAGCACAATGAATAGGAACGTAATGCAATCAGCCATCGATCGCCTTGCCCATTCAAGACAATGTCCATTTGCTACACGGACCATAAACTCCTTCATATGTCGCTCGGTAGTCATAAATTTTCCACCCAACGCTCAAACTATGTTTAACTTTTACTGAAAGAATGCTTTTTCGCCACCAATTCCAACAACATTCCCCGCAGAGTGAAAAAAATCATTCATCTCCGAGTGTCTCTGAGCCGAAAAGAAATGGCCAGAAGAAATAAAAACCGATAAAGTAGTCCATCGAACGGACTTGAAGATGTGGCCTTCCACTCCACTCATTATCGTGTCAAATTCAGCGGCAGTGGAATTCTTCGGCCTCTGTTCCCACTGTCGAAGATCTCTTCCTCGGTCCAATCATAAGTGTATCGGGGCAAAAAAGAAACTCCACCGAGAATGGCAAGGCAAATTATTATTGAATAAATGCCGGACAAAACACAAAAAGACCATATATAATTGAATTTGTAGTGAAAGACAAGTTGACCGAGTGGCCAAACTATGCCTTCTTGCTGCAGAAGAGATTTGGACAGAAATTTCACTATAAAAACCCATCGAGCGCTCATTTTCTCCAAATCCCTGCCCATAGTGTGGAGTAACTGGCAATCACTACTCGATAGCAATATCTGGGATTCCAAAAAGAACCACACCCAAAAAGAGGTTCGTCGCTTCCATCAAAATCTTTCGTTTGTGACACAGTGCGCGAATGGGTGAATCTTCACAATGCGAGTACCATCGACCTTTCAGTGGAAGTGGCACGTGAAATTATCCCATATATTTGCTATCAATTAGCGATAATTGCTCGCCAATTGCTCTATTAGCACCCGACCGGGGGAAGAATGTGCCATTTCACAAATATCTCGACACATCAATCGGAAACACCACCGGTGACTGTGAGATAATCCGATATAAGATGCCGCGTGTTCGTGAATCACTCCATTTGCCACTTATGCAAGTTGCAGAGGGCAAATAGAGTGCATCGAAAGGCTGGAGAACTTGCAGAATTCAATTGAGAGTCTCTCGCTCTCCGAATCCGTCACCGCGATATAAATTCTCGACAGAGAAATTGCATAACTTGCAATTGAGATAAATATTTATGATAGCTCCACAACTCCCTCTGACAAAAGCGTCTCGCTTTGGAAAATGTGCAACACACATTCCAGTCTACGGCAAAAAGGCGCATTTATGCCACTTTTGGGATTCGTGGGCGCAAAGGAAACCCACCAATGAATAGAGCCAAAGTGAATGCACGTTAAGTCACAAGTATTCCAAAAATTTACAACAATACACGAATTTTAATTACAACCATTGCGCAAAAGCCCGCAGAATTAATTATCACCTTCAATTCACTTTTCATTTATTATACACACATAGACAGTCATTTTCCGGAGTTGAATCGTTTTTCTCGCATTTCTCTTGAAATCTCTGGAAAATATCGCAAACACGTGTTTGCGTCAATTTCAATTTACTGACATTGAATGCATTCAATACGCCTGAGTCTTCTAATAAAAATACGGATTTCAATATTCATATTTTCATAGAGCTTCTCGCAGTTGACACACGATAAGAGTGAACTAACCTGATCCTCATCACATGGTTTTTACCACATTTGATTCGTTCACTCCATAGTTTGTGGTTAGTTTTCTTTCGCGTAGTTTTCAAAGAATTAATTCTATTGAGTTACTGTGAAGTGGAACAATTTCGTTGCGGAATTTTCCTCAAAGATTTCATCTCTATCGTGTTTACGAAGATTTACAAATTGGGAAAAGATTTGTCTCTATTGTTGGAAGGTAATTTCGTCTGAAATATTTATTGCTCAAATATTGCGCTGCAATGAGTGAAAGAAGCGTTTCTATATTCCAATTATTCTACTCAGATTCCTAAAAATCTACCCCATAAAGACGCCCTTAAGAACCAAATGATTTTTCATCAATGGATTTGTCAGTAATTTATTGCACCTTGGAATATTTTCATAATGTCTAAGAATGATGCAAGAAGTGCTGCAATCATCTGTGAAAAAGCCTCACGAACATGAAAGAGATTCATGCAGGAAATTTTCAATTAAATTGCCTCAATTGAATATTTTTCAAATTCCCTCCATCTCTTCGTGGCAAAATGATTTGGCTGGTTTTTCTGCACCAAACATATCAAGGTTGATAAACACAAGAGATCGGAAATTGACCTTCATCATCTACACAAGTCGAGTCAGAGGTGATCATAGTCATTATGAGCTCGGCAATATTTTCTCTCAAAATTTCCACCACTCAATATTTGGACATGATTGATGAGGAAACATCACCGAAAGAGCATAACTAATTTTCCTCAATTGAATCCCCTCGCGAGGTTGGTGCATCTCCCAGGGCGCGTCTTGAGATAATTCCCTCATTTGAGGAGGTCTAAGTAAATTGATATCTTGCTTGGAATTGTTTCACATTGTAGTGGCAATCATAAAAGATTTAATACTGGAACTTTCTCGCTCCATTAAAACAATTTTTTTTAACAATTTATCGTGCTAAGATGTGCGAAAGAAGAAAGGTAACTATCACATTGGATGAACCACTAAATTGTGCACCACAATGATCTCTTATTTTTACTCTATTCTCTCCCGTATAATTATTTTTTTGGTGAAAAACCCGTGGATATAAAAAAAAAGTGAGAGACTGAAGATGGAAATTGTCCCATGAAATGGACATTAACGATGAAGACTGACACATTTTACACGAGTGAATCACATTCTCATCAAATTATCTATTCATCTAGACCAAAATAAGAGCCTCGACGTTTTTTTCTGCATTCCAAAAAGTACATCAATGTAAAAAATCAGTCAGATTCTAAAACATATCCGTCATGATGTCGACAGACTAAAATTGCTAATAAATTTAGCTGAACAATGAGAAGAATAAATATATAAAATAAAACATCTCGTAAACTCGCAGAAAGGATCTTCAGCCATATATGACGAATGAATTCCTCTGAGAAGGAAATAAAAGATAATACCTAATTCCAACCCATTTCGGAGTTAATTACAATTCAGCTGGATTCTCTCAATCGCGGCAAAATATGGACGCCGATTAGATCTTTTGTTGTCTTCGAGGCACCACATGAAAACCTGAAAATTTCCTGAGATGTTTCTGCTGAATCTCAACCCGTTTTGGCAGATCACTCACATACCAAAATCTCCCATTCTAATTTTGTATTTGTAGTATATAAAATCGCCAAGGTCAGCGATGGCCGTTAGTTGAGTCTGAGATTCATTCTTCGCTTCGAAATTCCCCCGATCATCCGTGGCAAATTGCAAAGATCATCCCAAGCGACACGGAATACTCCGCCATGCGAATGCGAAAACATATAAATTGCGCACAATTGTGACTAAAATTTGGGATGAGGGCAAAAACGTCCGAAGAAGTGAATCATTAGTAGCAATTATTTGCGATCATACTCAAAATTCTAGAGACGAGTTTGCCTGATGGACAGCGATCGTCTAGGAATGGATAATTAATTGCTAATCTTTTGATCGTGGCACTTGGACAAGGTTGAAACTGGCAAGTCGCATCTTTTCCGCCTTTCTATCCCACCAATTTCATCACGTCATACCTTCCACCGGCGGTCATGAGCAGATCAATTTCTCCTATTGGCTCTCTCCCCAAAAACTCCCGTGCGTGGTATGTTACCACTTTCGAATCTGCACAATTGCTCACATGAGACGCTAGGAAGATTTACGAGGGGCAACACCTCGAAACTGGTCCAGGTGAGTGGCAGTGCCTAATGAAATCGTCCAACTGCATGCCGCGCATTTTGCAAACGCACCGTGCAATTGAAAGTCACGCCGACTCGAGTGACACTAAATTACACCTGGCTCTTGGATATTGCTACACTTTTACCTACGCTTCAGTACTTTGGCGTATTTCCGAGAGTAAAGTTACCACGAGTGTAGGTTCAAAAAAACCCCAATGCGAGTAATGTCAGTTTTTATCTTCTTACATATATGGGAGAAAAACTGAAGACCAGTTTAATAAAGTTAAAAAAAAAAACACTTTTTCTCAAGTTTAGAGCCATTAAATTTCCTGCAAATACAAGAGTATTTCGTAATCTCTCGATCAATTATATCTAAATGTTAAGTGAAACAAAAACAACATTTGTTATTTTCCATCTACAACTGAGTATAAAAACAGATGTAATATTAAAAGAGAGAAAGAAAAACACTTTTTTGTGTGAACATTATTAAAAATATATTGAGACTGCAAGATAACTGCAGTTCAAGGAGAGATTCATAGTTTACCTCCCCTCAGGAGATCACAAAATTCATATCTTTTGCAATTCAAAGAAATTTGATGTCTCAAATGTAGAAGCTAACAAAATTATTTATTTGCACAATCATGACGAGCGACAGTGACTCATGAGATGAGGAAAATTTTAGCTTCTTGTTTTCTTATTGTCGCTTTTTCGCTAGTCTCTTATTACTTAATTAGTCAAATTAGTCTTCCAGCTATATGACCCTATTATCACCTCCTGATTGTCATTTCTTACTTGCCT